GCGCGCGTAGGTATATCGCACGGGAACACGGTAGGTAGAAGAAACGAATGGAAAAAAAAAAAGCGTAAAAGAGAACCAAATCACCACAGCCCAGGTCTCGTAGTCCCACGCGAATCGTTTTACCAGGTATAATGTTTTCATTAAGCGCGCGCCGGAAACCTTACACGGCCATACGAGGGGGCGGAGACGCGGCAAGACGTTTCCATTGAGAGCGGCGACGGCGGCGGCATCATACGCACACGCACACACGCACGCCAAACAGGACGGATGAATGATAAAAACACGCCAACGAGACGGGAACGGGACAAGCCCCCGATGAAGCAATTCCGCCACGCCGTTTCCGGTACTAATCTTCTCGTCGGGTCCAACGTCGTCATGACTATGCCAATTGTGCACGATGAGAAACTATAATATATATAAACACACACACACACACACACAATAATAATAATAGTTGTAACACAGCAACAATAATATAAGACTTCCTGTTGAACGTGTGGTTTATCCGACTTATTTTTGGTAATCGTCCATCACCACCCCGACGTGCTTCAGCAGCTTGCCATCGTCGAAATTCGCGCGTGTCTGCCTCCGATGGTTTTTACGACGGTTTAACATATACGCAACAAACAACAATACGACGTACGCAGAACGTCATCGTCGCATTGGAAAAATTGCGTTTTCAATTTAAATGTTACGGATACACGCGCGTACTACACACATCATCAATACAAATAACACGCCGACTCGATAGCGGGTCTGCAGCATGAAACCGAATAGTATCAACATAGTGGTCATTACAGTCCAGTGCGTATGTTAACAGTGATTTTTTTTTTTTTAGATTAAAATAGGCATTGCATAGGAATAACATCATGTTCTGTTCGGAAAACCGACATTACGAACACACTACGCCAACTAGATCTACCTTTTTTTTTACACCCACGAAATCACAGTGCTATCATTTATAATAACGGTATTCTCGTAAACTATTGTTAAATCTTGTTGAACGAGACGTATAGTTAAATAGTTGTTGCAAAAATGTGTTATACAACAATAGCAGTGATAGATATTAAAAATATTAATTGATTCGTTAACGAGTCAACCTTTTGCATGATAAATAATTATAACCTTTTTTTTTTTTGCAACTAATTATAACAGAAAGCTGTACTTTGAGATGGAAACTAAATAAATATTATAATTATTACATTAATATTTCAAATTGACGTATTAATCATACATTATCACTAATTGGTAATTAGTCGTCAAAATCCTCAGACTAAATAACCATATACGATTTATGTAACATATTTTTAATTATCAAAAACGATACGATAAAGAAAAATCAAAAGTGTGATATAATATAACTTTGCGCATTAGTTCAAGATAAAAGAACAGATGATGACACAATCAAAAATTGAATTTGATTGCGATTCACGTTCGAGTGAGATACAAGTAGAATGAGTTATACAACAAAGTCGAACGAACCTAAATACAAGTTCACTTTCCATTAATGTAGACGATCAGACAAAAAAGTCGAAAGTTACTGGTAATTTTTTAAAATTTGAAACACTTAATAAACTTTGCAACGAAAAAAAAAGTATAAAGTTATAAGCGAATTACATTCCCATTGAACGGGGACATATGTCAAAATATTTTAGCATGTGTATCCGATGCATTATTTATTTTTTCATTGAACCAGTAAAGCGCGACTACGCATGTATACATCGGAACGTAGTAACCAATAATACTTGATTTTATAACGTATAACGTATGTCGGTGGAATTTTTCATTCGTATAGTAAACTTTTTACGAAATTTACCGAACAAACGAATTAATATTGTTAGTACGTAATATTATAACGGCGAGTACATAATGACGCTCTAGGCGGGGTGATACGAGTCAATCGGATTGAAGAAAAAGAAAATTATTTCCCGGAGATACCTCACACAGCTGCCGCACCCTGAGGACCGCGCAGCAGGCACACGCACACATCACGTCCGACTAACCGGTCGCGCGAACGACCTTGATTAGGTCACAACACCTACGACGACGAGAAGGTTCGAGATGATGATGGTACCGAGGTAGTGGTTACCGACCGTGAAGGTTTCCAGCAACAAGCAAGATCAACACAACTGATGCAACCATTGAACGAATAATAGTAATAATGATAACAATGAGACGTTCATTAAAATATGAATGAACGCCGGTCGCATCATAATAGTAATAATAATAATAATAATAATAATAATAATATATGCGTGGTGCGCGTGAGGAGTGTGTCGAAAAATATTATCCATTACGATCGTCTTTCTCGGGCCGCACACGCACACGCTGCTAACGGCCGTGCGTCTTTTATTCACGGCCCCGACGCCTCTGTGCGTGCGCACTGCGCGTGTGTGACCGTAGCTTGATGGCCGACGCGTACCCATACGTAGGAAGCGTTCACACCTGGAACAAGGTGCTCGGTAGAGGAGAGCACCGCTGAAATACGTTAACCGAAACCGATTTCGGTCAATACCGGTTTGTAATAAATCGGATTCAGTTGACGCAAATGACGCAACGGACATTCCTGCGTTTGTACTGCGGCGGTGGTGAGACGACGGACTTCCTTAACTCGGAACGTTAAGACGGCGGACCAGGAGAACGAAGAAAAATTCCTCGAAAAAGAGACGCGTCGTACACACGAAAATCTTCGGATTCCGGTGCCGCGTGTCTACACCAGCCGGTCCGTACGTTATTGTAGCGTCGTCGTCTCCGTTGTACGAAAGAGGTCGCCGCGACCCCGATCAAAAATCCGTTGGTTTGCTTATCACTAGCGCGTCCCGGTGCAAAACGAACGCACGCCGCCAAGTTCAGTGCTAACGCGCAACGTTCCCCCTTTCTATTGATAATGTTTCATCGATTACGATATTGTTGCAGACACGAGAGAACAAGCGATGAAAAGTGAAAGTTGCATCTCATCGTCGTTACTGTTTAATCGATTTGATAAATAACGAAATTTAATGATAGTTTTTAAATCCAATCGAAATCCAGAATCGTACGTGATCGAGAAAAATATTCATGTAAAAAGTCCATCAAACGCGTACCAAATAAATAGTTATTTGTTACTGATTTTGGTGGGAAATAGGCCACAGTTTTATCACAAAGACCGCCAAATCTTAGTCCTAACGAATTGCATAACACTTTTAATTAGTAGTAAAAGTAAATTCAATACGCATACAGATAAAATCATATAAAATTAACTTTTTTAATATAAACCTAATGTTACTATTTAAAATAATCAGAAATCTATATAACAATCGCATTTGCCTTTATAGTTCACTTCAACAAGAACATTGATTTAAATAATATTTAATTAATTCTGAAATAATTTATCTCACGACCTAAAACGCAACTAACATAATCAATATTAAATAATTCCTAATTATCAACATTAATACTAACATAACATGGTTCATTACTTTACTTTTAATAATTAGGTTCTTGTGTAATCCTCACAATTTTTATAATATGTAATTTAGAAGTTTGTTTATAGTATAACAGTATAATGTATTACTGGTATTATATCAAATGTGATTAGTTTATCGTGACTCATAACAGATACAAAAAAAAATTAATATCAATTACTATAGATTCTATAGCATTTTTACATGTGATTTATTGAATTTTAAATAAATTATTTAAATATATAGGTAACTATAAACATTTTAGTTGAAAATATCTTTTTTATATTTTAAATTATCAATTTCTGATTACTTTAATTAGTTAAAAAAAAAAACCAATAATGAATAATATTCAAAATATATCAAACTGGTATAAGTAAATTAATGTTAAACAAAAATGTTCAGATACCATAAAATGAAACTAATTCAATAATATTAAGGTTAAGTCACTAATTAAGGTAGGTGCAAAGCTATAAAATGAGGAAATATTGATAATTTTATACAAGATAAATCTTAACGGTTTTTGTAACCTAGGTGTATAGATTTCACAAATATTGTAAATTTCATTGTTTAAATTAATGGTAATTGACAGAACTTTATTGAGAAATTTAAGAAACATAAAATATTTATAAAAGAAGTGTTTTTAATTATTTTATTCAATTGAAAACAAATTAAGAATAGATAAATTAATACAACTTAAGTTTCTGTAATAATCAACACAATTCATTAATATGAAATTAACATAGGTAGCTATCATTATACATTAATCATCAACTATGATAGGTCATGAACAAAACTAATTTTAACCATACTAAATTATTAATAAAATAATTATAAATAATATAACTCAAAATGGATACACACAAATATTTAATACTGTTTATTTCCATGTACATATGGATAAACATTAAATAAAAATTGAGGCAGTTACCTGCTGTTTCTCATATAATAGATAAGTTCAGTATTAAATTAGATACATACATAAGTTCTAAGCCTATATACCTCAGTTACCTACACAAATTGGTTAAAGCCAGTAAGTAAAAATGAAATAATAATACAGAATAAACAAACAAATATATCCATCAGTGCGGGATTACTTACATGTTAATACACAAATAACAAATAGATAGTTTATTATTAATTATACAGATAGGTCGGCAATGGTGGAAAATTTTTTTTTATAAGTTTATACTGATTAAAATTTAAATAATTTTATTTTTATTTATTATTTTTTTAAATGGTTTTTATGAGTTTTAACACCTATTAATTGGTTGCCCTACTGACAACACAAGTTAGATAAGAATTATCATTATTGCAACTGCTAAATGGTAACTACCTAATTACTATCATTCAAAATAACATAAATGTTATCATAACATAAAAATTAAAACTTATTGAAAAATGTAAGAATATTCATTAACGGGTTGAAGTGCAGAAACGTTTCATAATGATTGAAAATATTGATTTTATCAAATTGTACGAGGATATTAGAAAAAAAAAGGAAAACAGAACCACTGAATACCAATAGTCCAACAATGATATCCAATGTAAACTACTTACCATTCAGGCAGTGAACCTTGCATCCATCTTTCAGCAATCGCTTGGCCAACACAACCATAGTATCCGATACGGACGAGGTGGTCTTACGATCACTCAGACATTCATCACCGTACAGCACAAAAGCATTCTGCTTGTAGGCGTTTACGATTTGCTCTCTGAGATCAGTGCACTTGACTGTGGACGCCAAGTCGATTTTTCCAGCGGCAAGCCGGCGTAGCATGATCGTGGGTATGCTGAAGTTCACGGCGTCTCGGATGTGACATTCGGAGAAGTCCATCGAGCTACGGCAGTCCAGTATGAGCATCTGACACTTGTTACTCGAAGACAGCTCGGCGGCCAGCCAGCCGCAGCTGACGCAAATGTTGGACAGCAGACAAGAATCGTCTTCAGCTGGCATTTTGCAGCAAAAGAATTACGACACCCACAGCAACGTTAACTAGCACGCACACCGGCACTCGTCTACTGGACTTGCATCGATAAACGACGTTTTATGCGATGCTGTTGTACGAGTTTCGGTCGATCCGTTTTCTCCGTTGACTCCACACACGATGCACCACGGTTAACACGACGAGACTGAAGAGACGACGATCGTTTCGCACGACGACGAATCGTTTTTGAAGATCATATTAATACATGCTCGTACCGTGCGGGAAACAGTGAAAATTGAGTGGAAGAAAAAAAAATACTTGTCAATAGTTAACGTTGTACGGTCTAATCTCGCTCAATGCAGAAACGACGTTGAACGAGAACGTTTGAATTGAAAAACTATTTAGAAACGCGACATCGGAGAACAACGTATACCTCGGGACGTTGTGGCGGTAGCATTGACGGCGAGCACAACATTTACACTATCATTATCAACGTGATTATTATTATTATTATTATTGTGCGTTGGTAAAATCGGCGACGAACGCGTTAGTTGTGCGCGCGCGAACGTGGTGGAACTGTTGATCACTGTAAGGCGGCGGACGCGATGACAATATAACATGGACGTGGCGGTGTGACGGAATGGACGCGGTGCACGACAAATACCAAGAAACTCGCGCCGTCCCCCAGCGCCCCGACCGCCCGCCCGCCTTACGACGCGCCGAGTCCGCCGCCACCTGTCGGGCAACCGTGCGCCATCCGGCCGCGGAGCAACGCGTTCTACCGGCCAAACCGTTCGGCCGGCCGACGACCCAAAGATGGCGCCGCCGGGTTCGACGCGATCGTTCCGAAATCACATTGTAAACCGAAATATTGTCCTGCAGCGTTGGGTCGCCACGAAAATCAGTTTCAAGTACTTACCGACCGGAGAGTTTACCAAGATTTCTTCAATAGCCTTTTTTTTTTTTTTTCATTTATTTACTTTTTTATCCTTATACTACATTTATTGTTTGTGAATTCTCAACAACACATTTTTTTTTTACCAAATTTCAATCTATAGAATTTATAACAACCTATACAACGTTATAATAATAATACAGAATTCATAAAACTAATACGTTTGCTTATTTGTTATATAGCATCTTATCAATTTCATCAATGGTACATGTATTGAATTTAAACGATCAATTTGATTAATCAGTAGCAATATCATATAGGTATTTTTCACACAATCAAGATTTTTCACCCGTTTCTGTAAGCTCTGGTTTTCCCATGATGTACGTACGAAATTCCGTAACAGTTAATTTGATAGAATTAATTTGAATGAATAATACTTTCTTTAAATCTATACGGTTCTAAATTTGTGTAATATGTATATACACAGTAAACTCGCGATATAACAGACGAAAATGTCGTTCCCTTGAAAATCTCATAAAAACGAAAAATTAAATATATTTTTATCCTCTTGACAAAACAAAGTTTTTTGGCCAGCTTCCGCAATGTAACGAATTTTTACAATTTTGGATCTTGATTTTGACTAATTTTTAATTTTTATTAATATAAGATATCAGTGTCAATCTGGTCATCTAAGGGCCCAGGTAGGATTTTAATTAGTGACCCAACTTACCCAAGTATTCGTACATGATTGATTTTATTATTCATATTTGTGTAAAATAGATTTATTAAACCATATGATAAAATTCACTTAATTTTAAATTTTTACTAGTTCTATATTATACAAAGCGTACTTTATACAATAAATGATAATAAGAATTAATAATATTTTATTTTATTACACATTTAAATATAACATATGTCACCTATGTAAAATTATATTACCTTCGCTTTAAAATTAAATTTTAAAATGAATAAATGAATGTTTATTTTTAGCAGTTTGTAGTTATATTATATACATGATTAATAATTAATATTTTAGTATTACTCTGCAACGTCTATCACTAAGGAAATGTATCTATATTTTATAAAATGTAACCATATTAATATATAAATAAATAAAAAGTTTATACATAGAAATAAATAAATGCTTAGCCTGAAGTATAATTAAATTTGTAAAGTACGACAGATTTTGAATTAAAAATCACTTTTAAAACTTATACTTTAATCAAACATATAAATAATAGAACAAAAATTCACAAAAAATTTCCCTTCATTTGAAAATAATGGTACATTTAAACTTATATGTAATTGTAATATATTTTTTATAGGTAAGACAGACATTTTAAAATGAGGTATAAAGAACCCATTTTTTAAATAAAATTTAAAAAGACAGACCCTAATTCAAATTTTGCTAAGCATATTTAGTAAATAGAGTTAAGTTATAACTAGAGTGTAACTATCATTTACATTTTAATATGAAATACCGACTTAGAAATATTAAGTAACTAAAATAACACTTTTTCTGTTTAAAATAAGTAACACATAAACAATGAAATAAAGAAAAATAATTTTAATAATATTTTAAATATACAAACCGATTTTAAAAATATTATCTTTTATTAATACATTTTAGATAAATAATAACAACCAAAATATTTATCCATGTCTTATAACAATTCATTTTAAATAATTTCTCCTATTAAAATAAATTATCTCTATGTAAAACGACCAATTATTTTCAGTATATTCCTTCCTTTTTTTTTCATAATCGGTCGCGATTTTATTGACTTTGTCTATAAATCTATAAATATAACTATAATATATTAATACATAATAGAATTAGATGTATATGTATATATATATATATATCTATAACTATAAATCTGACGATGAATTTTTAATTTGAAACCGGTCGTACTTCACAAATATAATAATACTCCATTTATTTATTTATTTATTTATTTTTATATACAATCATTTATTTACTCTGATATTTTATTTACCGGGATTTTTGAAAGGTATACACCGGTGACATGTTTTGGTGTACCTACACTCAACAGGGACTTATGGTAAGCATACCGTAGTAACTGGATATTCGTGTCCGGTGCGAAACTTCGAAACGCACCATTAAGTAACTGCATGAACACCCAATGAATATTTTAAAGAATTTTTTTCTGGGGGGCAAAAAAAATTTCCACGCATATAGTCAAATCGATAAAATCAACGTCAACGAACTATGAAAAAAATATTTCAGTGTTAAAAAGTTTTTCAAACCTTTAACATTAAATGAACGTACAATAAAATTTTTAAATTCTAAGCTCATTATTATTTATTGAATGGTGGTCGGTAAGAGGGTAGAAACACGAAAATGCTTATACCTTTAATATTATTATCCAACATCCTACGGCCGCTCAACATCTTATTATAGTTGATGTTATTAACGGTGTTATAATTGTTGTCTGAAAATCTATACAATACATTAACGCAATGCTTTACGTAGATTATATAGTACATGTAGGTACACGCCTGTTCAAAACTAAATACTAAATGAGAATATACAGGAGATGATTTTTACGCAAGAATTACGCAGAAACAACGACGTGTACTCGAATTAGTATCGCAATAAGTTGATCCGGTGCGATTAGTCATTCAATTACTGGAAATATTATAATTGCGATTTATAATATGATTTTATTTTTTTATTTCAACAAACATGACATTTTCAAATATTTATAAACAGTCCCAAAAAGATAAATATCTTATAAAAATATAACATCTTTAGCGAACTGTGATATGAACATGCAATGACATTTTCATGTCTTAATGATTACCTTTTAATTTTCGAGTTGCAGCGAAAAATAAAATAGATTTTGTCAAAAGCCGTGAACCGTAAATATTGCAATCTTTTTCGTTCAGTTTTTTGTAACTATTAAGAAAACTGTTGGGATATTTGTAAAAAAAACATTTTGATTAAAAGTTACATAAAAAAAAATATAATCGAAAAAAAAATTCAAAAAAATATAATATTTATAATTATTCATTATAAAATATATTATAATAACAATATATGGCAAAAGCTGATTTAATTTATCAGTTGTGTCTGGTGTTCATCGAATAAACAGTAAATAAGAAATTAATAAAAATATATGTTTAATAAATTCGCTACAATGTGAATACAATACTTTAAATTATATTGTTGGCCAACACTAGTTGCAAAACGTAAGTTTAAACTCAGTCGCAGAATATTTAAAATTTTTCGAGGCTGAAGCTTGAAAATTATTTTATTGCCCACTCCAGTGTACATAATATTATGTTATTGCTACTAGCAGTTTCCTTCGAGTGTTCGTGGTATAAATGTATGTAATATTATGCGTGTCAGCGTGTGCATATTTACTATTTGTTAAAGAACAAATTATAATGAATAAATAGATGGTCGGTTAATATTTTATATTTTGTTATTATTTTTATCATTGGACTGCTTCGAGTTTTACCGTGACCATATTAATAATTCTATACGTATACAAGTACAAGGTCCAGTGTTGTGATAAAAAAGAAAGGATGATATGTTTGAGACACCAAATTGTATACGTTAAAAAATACGGTAATTAATTATTATCAAACGAAAAAGACCGAAAAAATATAATACAAATCGCATATAGTTAATGAATAATTTATCTATTTGATAAATGTGAAAAAATGATATACTATAATGTATAGGACCATATAGTTATGTAAGCCAATGCTTACTACAACTTATTCTTCTTCAAGTTTCTTCGAGCAAATATAATTTATACACTCACATAATTTTATCAACCACCGTCCACCAAGAACCATCGAATTAATCATTTTGAAGATCCACTATTTTGGTGATTATCAGGGTTGGTATTTTATAACATTTGCATAATTCTTATGAGATACTTAAAAAATAGCAAAATAAGCAAAAAATGTTTTCATGATATAGAGAACTTTGCTTTTTTTGCACATTTTACATTTTTTAATTTATAATGCTTTTTTTGGATTTTTTGAGACTTTTTTGCCTTTTACCTGTTTTAATCGAAATCGGACATATTTTATGAAATTGTATTTTGGTAAACATGTTTTTTGATTTTTGTTAATTGAATTTTCAAGATTCAAAATTTTAGTTTTAATTTTAAATTAAATTATAAAGTTATAGATTAAGTAAATAGACCGATTACGCTGATGCAACTCTGTACAATTACAGCGATAATATATAGGTAGTTATAATATAATACAATAATTTCGTTTTAGTTATTTGGTTCTTATTTTTGTTATCTGCTGATTTTGTTAGTTTTTTTGTCGATTTCTATTAAATCTACTAATAGCCGATTATCATAGAACGAGTGTAGAATTCGCTTTTTACAGTCCACATTCGTCTCGTGTGCTCGTATAAAGTTATTAAATAATAAATTTCCTTTTTTTTTTGTTGTTTTTATTGCATATTTTTAGAGCTTATTTAGTGATTTTTAAGGTAATATTATAGCACATATTTATACAATTTAAAGTGCTATAAAATCCCAACCCTGGTGATTATACAAAACGTTTATATTTATTTTTATTTATCATATGATTATATATAGAACTGTAAGTATGTAAATAAAATATGTATGTTATGTATACACATTATACCATCAATTAAAAATACTATATCAATGATCAACTAATCAAATGTATAATCAACGATTATATACATTATATTACATTATATTATATATTGTATACTATATATAACTGATAATGATTATCTTGTTCCATAAATTAAAAATCGTATTTGATATTAATAACCCTTTCTTTACACAAAAAAACTAAGTATAAATTTCATTCGTTTATATCTGAAGAAAGTAGGTATGTAAGTATATATATTTTTTTTAAATTTTTTTGTAATAGTACATAAGATAATTATTTAGTAGGCATATAACATTTCACTAAAACTGAGTTATTCTAAGTTATTACATATTTTATGTCGTTAGAATATACCGTTGTTGAAACTAAAATACTAAGCAATACGCCGAAAAATCCAACCTTATGAAATCTGTAGGTAATACCATAGAATTTTCAAAATGTTCCAGGAGCGGATCACATTAATAACATACGTGAATACATGTACTAGAAAGAATAGAAAATGAAAAATAATTTTTAAAAAATAAAAGCTCAAAAGTCAGGTGACTTTATGCATTCCTGATTAAAATTTGAAAATTTGTTATTAAATTTTGTAAATGTTCTAACTCATTTTGGCATGCATATAACAAAAAGGAAAAAATATTGATTTAACTAACTTTTATATTTTACAAATTTTGATACACATACTTAAATTTAATGCATTTTTTAAATCAATCTTCTTTTTAAGAATGTTATGTTTCTAGATTTTTTATATCCTTATTATGAAAAGCACACAATTACGTGATTTTATGAATTTTATTGGTAATTTATGTATTTTTAACTAAAATACAAAACTAAATACATCAATAAGATCAATAAAAAATTATCATTCTCTTAATAACACTAGGTATATTGTTATAAAACAAATATAGTTTTTATGATGATATTCTAATAAAAATAATATGATCATTAACTGTCACTAAATTACCGTAATTTATAACTTGAAATTAAATATATATTTTTCATATACAAATAATCGTTGTTTTATTCAATCAAAATGTCATTCTGAATATTAATTATAATACGTTTTAATTAAATATTATATAATGAGCAATTTCAATGAATATACATACAAATAATATTAACAAAAATCAAACATGTACTTATATATTTAACTACAATAATTAATTTAATAACAAATGGGTAGTTAATACCCACTTTTATAAACACACTTACTTATATTTAGATAATGTTAATTCTATTCATAAAATTAAAGAAAATTGAGCGATTTCTATGAAAGAATACAGTAAAGATTATAATAATAATTATGAAATTAAATTGGCCTTCATTATATCTACACGAAAATGCATATAATATAATATATATGAATTAAATATTCGTTGTATATTTTAATTTGATCTAGTACTTAACTTGACATAATGTTTAGTAAGAGTAGTTTTCAACGTTCAAATCACATATGTTTATCAATTGAATTAATACTGAAATATATTTAAATAATGACTCTAAAATATGTATTAACAAAACTAGTACAAAAATACCTCGTATTTCCAAATAATAATTGATTTTTCAATAAATTATCTAATATATATGTTATTAATAAATATACATTACAAAATATGTTATAAATAACACATTACACTATATCTAATATCTAAAACTACACTTATCTTTGTGGACGGCAAACTTTGTGAAATCTATTACAACATCTACCAATGCTTACGAAAAATATTATTACAATTAAAGCAAAGAAACCCCATAAATAAAGCCCAGCCCATAATGAATCTTGGTCAGTCAGTATTATGTATGGCTCTACTTCCGGAGTCAAAAGACCGTGATGAATGAGAGCGGCAGTACCATTTGGGATAGGACAAGGTAATTGTACAATAATATCTTGATGTTGAATCTGAAAATATTATTACTTTACAGTTGAGAAACAAACATTTTCAATTAAATTAATTTGTTAAATAGGTACCTGTTTATTGCGACACACTAGAGATGCAGCTAAAGAAACAAGTGTTTCGTATGTATGATCACTTTGTAACAATGGCAACATTAAGTATCTGGTAGGTGATAAAGTTGATAGGATTCGGGCTCCAGGGATTCTTTTTAGATCAGCAAAATTTAGTGGTACACCGCTCACAACCCCGGACACAAGAACAGCAATTGTTGTTAATACTGATGAACTGAGGCGACCAGGCATCATGTAACCTATTGCTGTTGCCAATAATTGCAAAGCACTCATATGAACCGTAATGTACACTATAAATGGCAAAAGAAAAAAAAACATGTTTAAACAGGAAAATATAAATAATTTATTAAAATAGATGGTATACTGGTGCCTGTATTATAAATAATAAATAGTGCTTAATAATGTTTATTTATATATAAAACATAAACAGCATTTCTAAACGTTTAGGTCTATTTATGTTACTAATGTTCACTATATACTTACATATATATGCAAAAAATGGTTCAGGATCATTTAAATATTGATAAAGAGCTGACATAGCATACGCTGGTACAGAATAAACCACCCAGATCAAAGCTGACGGAGGGATACCACAGAAAATCTATATACAAATTTAAAATATTTCTAATTAATATTTTACAATTTTGAGGTTTGAAAACCAATATAAATGAAACTTACAGATGTTACAATGTAGACAAAACGACTGTATAAATTATCAGCAATGTCACTTTCAATAGCATCACGATCGTTACCGTGAGTGTCATTTAATGCAATTTGTAACACCAATGGTAATGCTCCAATTATCATAGTACTATAATAAAATCCCATTCTGAAAAATAAATTCATTTTAATAAATGTTTGTGTCTTGAAATATAATAAATGTTACATACCTGTCTCCAAATGAAAGTTGCGGATCTGTGGCTGGAATATCCCAAAATACTGCCCCAATAACTATAGATAATATACCAGCAATAAATATCCTAGAAATCCATCGTAAGCTACTTCTGGGTTGTGAATACGCCATGTGACGTCTAGAGAAAATACATCATATTAATATAGATACTTCTCTGAATGTGTAATTTAGATATATTATATTATGATCATACAGTATTATGGCAACAATTTGAATTGGCACAGATGCAGTCCGGGGTTTGCCTGGCAAAGATTGCGGTGGTCCAGGGTCTGGTAAAGGTTCAACTCTTCTTCGAAATAAATCCGCCAATTGTTCTACTCTTTGACTTGACTCTAGCATAGCTTCTGCTGATAAGTCATCTAATGTTACTAGATCAACTGAAATATTGTTACATTTATTAATTTAAAAATAAAAACCATTTCAGGTACGAACAATAAAGCATTTATATTATCCATTAATTATTTAGCATACGATAGTAATCCGAAGGATTTTTGAAAGCAGGACATGGATAATCAGCAGATGAAAAATATGGCAACATATTTCTACGTCGCCCGGAGTACATTAAATGACCGACAGATATTAAAGCTACTCTTGAGACCATGGTAAATATTTCATAAGTTGGTGGTTGCAATGTCACCATTACAATGCGTGGATTTACACCGGCTAAAATAATAAATATAATCATTTGTATCGATAAATAAAATAATAATAATAATATAATAATCATAATAAATTATGAGAAGAATAAAAAAACTTACTAGGAGCGCCAGCTGCCCACTGTCTTAAAAACTCAACTAGGAAGAATGTATCGAATATATCCATTGTCGCTGTTGGCCTGTCAAGCATTATGATTTCTGCATCAGACATCAAATGACATGCTACACTTAATCTTTGAGATTCAGAGGCAGTTAGTTCAGAAACATTAGTATTTAATACTTGTCCAAGCCCCAACTCTTCAATAAGTACTCCCATCTGAAGTCAGATAGATATTATTGAACTTGAAATGTATACAATTTTTTAAGCACTTAAAAATTCTACATACTTGATCATTTTGGGATACTTTTGGTATGGCACGAGCAGGAGCTTTACGTAAATGAGAATAAAATGCCAAAGTCTGTGCTACACTTAAGTTAGGAGCAAGTTTAGCTTCAGCAGGTACATAAGCAATACGCTTAGAAAATGAAGAAATAGAAATATTTTGTCCATTGAGCAATATGTGCTGTACTTGACACGGATGGCGATTAGCAAGGCTGCTTAGAAGAGCTTCTCCTTCTCGTTCTGAAATGAAATATAAATGTACTTAATAAACAAGAATATTACAAAAATAATTGTATAATAATTAATAAAACAGTATTTTTTTTTATTACCAGAAGTCATCATAAAGGCCATTACTTCCCCAGCTTGAACTTCAAACGATATGCCTTGAATTTTTGGCCTTTTTCCATCAGAACTACTAGGCACTTCTAGACCTCTTACCTACAATTTGAATTATACTGATTAGTCAGCGGATACTTTAAAAAATATAAAATATATTTAATTTAATTTAGATTAATTTTTTAATTTTGTAAAGTATTTTTAGTTAAGAAATATTTTTAACAAAAAATTTAGATTCACGGATAATAAATGTATTAAGTAATAAGTACTAACACGTAATAATACAATATAATAATGTAATGTATATATAATTGGAAAATAAAATTTCATTTGAATTAATTGCTTTATAAACTACTAAATATATTATACTGTAACATTGTATTTTAAATAGGTAACAATAATAAACTACATTCAGCATTACTGCAATGACAGTGTAGTTTTCTTCCTTATAATTGATGACAAAATCAAAATTATAAATTACATTATTAAAAATGACTGCTAGAAATCTATCGATTCATGCGCTATAAAGTATCTTAAAATATTAATTCAACTAACATAATATTACACTAAAAAGTAAAAATGGTTATAAATTATTCGAAATAATTTATAGCATTTAAATTAATAATATAAATGATAGTTTAAAATCGGTTACATTATTTACATATACTATATTAATGTAACATGATTTAAGGCGTAATATTATAATTCATACACGAAACAATATTAGGTATAATATATACAACTGCATAACTGTATAAGGTTATTATCAAAATGTTTGTTTCATATTAAAGTAGTTCAAGTATTGGCATTATTGGTCATTATTAATTATTAAATTTAAGAATATAGTAATACTAAAACAAAATATTTAAAAAATCACTAACCCGTAATCAGATTTAAACATAAAGTTAAATTATAATGGTAACTAACTCAAACTGATTAAAATAAATATTAATTAAAAATACTTAAGCGTTTAAGTTATATATGTATTTACACATACATATTATTGAATGCGTTTAATATTTATTTAAATAAAATATATTTCTACCTGAAGATATGGATAAACAATTGCTGGATGACCATAAATATCTGATCGATTTGGACTTAAATTACTCATCATACTTATACTTCTATCTCGAGGTGTAGTAGCAGTCGTACCAACAACAGCTATAGAAGCTGGTCTGCCGCTGGCTAAGTGATGAGCACTGTTATAACAAGAAGAAAAAATATAACATTTAATGACATAAATTAAAATCGTATCACTAGAATATATTAGGCAATTTACCTGAAGTGATGTACTGGATTAGTATAATGATGATGATGATGATGATTAGCTTCAGACAATGCTCGTAAGTCATGTACACTTCTTCGCATAGTTGGAAGTTCTTGTCGAATCGGATATCCATGAGGTGCAAGTAAATTAGCTTCACTTATGCTTTTTCCTCGACGACCCGGGTGTTGTCTTTGCAGAGTAGGCTAAAATAAATGATTTATATTATTAGTAATGTACAGCGGTGAAAAAGGTTAAAAATAAAAAAATCAATGAAAAACAACGCTTACCCCACCATGATGGTACAACGCGTGATTGCAAAAGTCTGGATCACTCCTGGTTCTAGTATAAGGTCGTTGATTACGTATGGCTGCTCCGTCCTCGCTTGAGTCATAACCACTGGATCCATCCCTGCGACTGTTCGGTGGAAATACTCTAGGCAAACCAAACTTAAGATACGTGTACATATTTGAACTCAACGGCGATTTATGCACGTCATATTTAGGGCCGTATCGTGGGTGGCTAAGTATGGACTGCACAGTTGACTCACGTAACTGAAAGTTACCATATGGCAGGGGAGACTTCTCACTCGAACCAAGCGCAGAGTCCGTAAAATCAGAATTTAAATTTTGTCTGGAAAAAAAATAACATGTATATTATGAATAAAATACGTATTTAAAGATATATTTACCTGTAAATACTCCAAGCGTGAAGATCTTCAGATGCTGGTGGTCCCATTGATGTGACCGCATGGTGGCTTAAATGAGGGTCTGTACCAGCTACAGAATATCGTCGCTCGCCCATTTCCCACGCTTGGCCTCCTCCGCCCACTCCACCACTGCTAAACCTTCTCGGCCCTGGCATATTGGCTCTGCAAAAATAATTTTCTATGAGAATATTCATAATACAACTAGTATTTAGCTTGGGCAACTATATAACTTCTGAATAATGACATAATAATAAAGATTAACCGGTCAAAATGCATTGCGCCCTTGGTACATGTTAACAATGTGCATTTGGATAGCTCATTAATTAAATACACACTTGACACAAATGGTTAAAAGACTTGAACGCCGGATGTGGTGATTGCTAAACATTTGTTATTATTAAACAAAAAACGTTAATCGAGATTGCATAGAAAATGTTTCGTAATCAAAATTACGATTAATTGGTTATTTTTGTTGGTTAATGATTAAATGTTCAGGTTAAGCCAAATGGTCAGAATTAGGAATGTATTCTGCAATGAATTGATGATTATCGAAAGGTATTCTAAATATATCGCGTAGAATAATAGGCTTGTACGTATCTATGATGAAAATGTAAAAAATAACTCAGCATGTGATATCAAAATCAAATTGTTATCCCATCGTAAGAAGATTATACTCGTATTATTTTAACATTATAGATGTATGCAATACAATGTAAAATCCATTAGCTATTCCTATAAGAATGCAGTTAAATAACAATAGCTGTTAGACGATAACGGCGGTGGATTAGATGAAGCGCCCACACAAGGTAGGCCGTCGAACCTGAAAATTACATCTACATCATTATCTCGTCCGATTGTCCGTACATCCTATTTGTGCGGGTGAATTACAAAAATACTTTGCTTGTTTGATATACTACACTGTGTTGCGCAGCCAAATGACTCGATTACGAGAGAAAATAAGAATCAGAGAGAGAGAGAGAGAGAGAGAGAGAGAGAGATATGGAGTGAGATGAAAACAGGATTCAACAGGAAATTACAATATGTAACATATATGATATGCGTGTACAACATTGGCGTGCGCATCGAAGGAAAGTCGTTGATCTCTCGCTCTGTCCCAGTTATTACGCTAAAAATTCCATCGATATGGGTAAAATAACTGGTTGCGTGCATGGCACGCGCGCGACATCCAACATCACACGTAGTCCTACTAGCCTAGAACCGACCGCGTGTGTGTAAAATAATTGAAACCAGTTTGCCACCGTGTACGCCATGTAGAGCAAGTACAGCGAGTGCGTTTTCTCGATCCACGTGCTTATACGTACATGAACAATACTTATCATCGTTCATTAATACAATAACAATAACCAATAGACAGCCGTGATGAAGAAAAACTCTAATACCGTGACGATCCTAGACTACCTGGCAATTCACTCTTGTCAGCCAATACGGCAGCAGTCATGGTACACTTGTCATACCTACGTGACTCCGGAGAACTTTTTTCCTCTCCCGGCAAGATGATAGCTTATACGCATCCGAACGGAACACACGGTAGGAATTATGTAAGTGTAAAATCACTTACGAAAATATTCCATCACAACCCGCGACTGTTTCAACTAGTTTTCGTACCGAACCCCACTTTTGTTTAGAGGTTGTCGAAAAAATTACTCTCCGTTATACGCCGTTCGACCAGAGCATCCGGTAATACGAGCGTGTATAGAAATGTTTAAGAAACTTTTGATAATTTTTGTCCCGTACACTTGAAAAAACAATCCAGAACTATAATAATGACGCGAAATAGCAATTGAAAATTCAAACACCATTAATAACAATTTAACTCTAGTGTGAAGTTGTTGATACTATTATTTAGCAATAAAAAAAAATTTTTTTTTCAGGCAATTATTTTAAATATATAATCAGCAATTGATACAGCGTATGTGTTGTACACTGAAACACTGAAGTAAAAGTTTTACCTTAAGTTATTTAACGCTTTTTTTTAAAAAAATTCCTCTGCAATGATAAATTAATGTTATTTTAAGAATGCGCATGAATTCGAATAACATTTTGACACTTGGTAAATCGTCTATAACGATATAAACCGGTATTTCTAGTACCATTATCATTTAACAGTAAAATATTTTAGTTTATTCAAAAATTTCTCTGACATTACAATAATTTTTCAAATACATTCAACTTGATCAAAATTTTTTTTCTTTAGACTTTCTCTCGGACTTTAAGCTTGAGCGAATGTCAGATGACCATAAATCCTATTGCTATAATATAGTATGTATTCTTAAGTCATATTTACGACCAATTGTTGTTTTGAAAGCGATAAACGTTATCTTTCTGCCTACTTAGTTTTTGTTATAGTAGTGTATTATTTTACACGATTCTATTGTTTATTGCTGTAATATCGTGATGTCATATTATAACCATTTTTTTAAAAAAAAAATTATATCTTTCGTCCAACAATGTACAAATGAAAGTATTAGACAACGCAGTTGAAATACGTCTATCATTCTTATATATCTAAGAGTTACTTAATAAAAATATATTTTGCTATAATTATACTATATTTCTTTAAATTATAATGATACAGTATTTATATAATTTAATATGTGTATATGGTATAATTCAAAGTCAGTCAACTGATTTGTATCAGATATGAGTCAACTTTTGAAAATATAAAAAGTATTAAACCAATTTTTTTTATGAAAAGGAAAACGTAGTGTACTTAAATTATTTAAAATCGACTATAGAATTGTTTAATTATTATTTGTAATTATTTTTAATTAACTAATCATCAATTTATAAGTCAAAAGTGAGAAGGGATTTCTTTTAATACTTAATTTTGTAAGTACTATCGGTATTATTAACATACCCAAAATACTTTTTTCTTTTTAAACAAATTTCTCAACAACTCTTTCCTTCTTTTTTTAGTTAAATTATTGTTGAAATAACGTGGTCTTATTACACCATTAACTATGTTATTGCATTCTTTCTTTGATGTTAGTTCAAATAGTAAATTTAAACTGTACATACATTTTGTTGATAGTAAAAGTTTTTATTGTTCTATATCATATTATTTTAATCATTTATTTAAAGTAGTTTTGTAATATTGTACTTTTACGTATTTTTTACGTTTATTATATAAATTGTTTATATATAAAGTCAAATATTGTACTGTTTTTATATTTAATCTCGATTAATGTTTTAATTTTTATATTTCGAAAGAATATACGTATTGATATTGCGTGACATAACTTTTACTCTATTGCACATAAAAGTGTCATATCAATTTAGAGAAATTGTTCTTTTTATGAAAAGAGGTATATTTCACGCAGTATAATATTATATTCATTTAAAATAGTAAGGAAAATCGATATTATTTACTTCATGAAATTTATACTAATTTTATACAATAAGTTATATGACAATGAAATATGTACAATATACATAATATTTAACACATTGATAATTTATGAAATCAATATTTTCGACATAGGGTCATTGCACATTGCAAGATTATCTATCAATGTGCCACATATGGACGTGGTACATTAGAGACGTAATTTTTCTATAATGTACAATTATTTTTTTTGTAATTTTTATTGTCTAAATTATTATTAATTTGAATCAATACTAAAACTATTACCAGAAGTTAATTAATTTTTATACTTAATTTTATGCTTAATTTTTATACTTGTTTAGTATGTAGTTTGATAACACTTTTTTTTTATATATACGAGAAAACCATCGTTGAGACCTTTTTTTAACTAAAAATGTAGCATTTGTAAATCAAGTAATAAAACTTGCTTTTCCTTCTCTTTTTTATGTAATGTAATTACATATTAAGTATATTTTACTTATAGTTTTAAATTAAATGTATTCACACTTGAATGTCGAAAATTATAACTGAAACACATACTTAAAAAAGTATTTATCTATTTCCATAAAACTCATATTATGTCTCGCTTCGATCACCTCAGTATCAAATAAGGAATAGTACTGAATATATAGTTACGATAAATTTGAATATAATAGCTATTGCATAATATAAAAAAAAAACAATCAGAAGTGAAATTTGTTTATCAAAATTAATAAAAATATTGTTGAAAAAGTAAAGAAATATTTTTTTGTATTTATTTATAATTATCTTGATGATTTTCAACAACTAAATAAATAAGATTTATGCTGTTAAGAGAAAAATCTGGATTTAGTATTTAAATTTCAAAGAATTATTGTCTACATGGAACTTTTTTTACATATATTTTTACTGTTTTCCTTTAGTAAAATATAGATTTTGTATCCAAAATTTAAAAACCGTTTGGTATGGTTTGTATATAATACTATTGTTATATAAGTCGAGGAATTCAAATTGTTTGTATTCATTTTAACATCTATAGTAAAAAAAAATCTGAATTGTCTGTACATATATGTTTCTTAACGGAGCAGTACAATAACAGTTTTCGATTTATATTTTCAAAATTATCAATATGTTATTGACCTCTATATATTTAAAATTATATCTTTTATTATAAGATAATTTATTAATTTGTAATATTTTTAAACAAACAATTTAAAAATTTTTATTTGATAGCAGGTATAAGGTATTCTAATTCACACATATGTGTCAAAACTATTAAAAATCAATCACCTACATTTGTTGTTTATTCGTGGAACAATTTAAACTATAATATGAATGTGTCTGATTGACTATATTCCAGAAGTCTGTATATCTATACACATAAAAGTACCGTTCTTTAGATAGCTATTATGATTGTACATTGATGGTGCCCCATAGTATCTCCCACTAATGCTGTCCTGGAATTCTTCATGTCAGCAACAGATACACTATAATTTTGTTCCCAAACCAAACAATCGTAGTTTTTTCTTGTTAATAGCATTCAGTGGCTATTTTGAGGCTAATTAGAATGATCCTGGGAACGAGATTTATTCCAATGTATATTTTATATGTTACTGCACCGCAGGAACATGCCAATGCTCTCTTCTCGAACAATTGTTTACGGTTTGGAAATATCTTGTAAAGAAGGTAAAAAAAAAGCTAATATTAAATGACAAACGACGGAATGATCTTTTTTATATCCGTGTCAAGGACAGATCTTCCTTTCCCCCTCCAAAGAACAAAACTTGCAAAATCGATTATCATCACAAAATTGACGTCTTTGACCGTGGAATTGATGACATTCTTGGACACAGATCGTTCAATGACCTGTTATAAGAATAAAATATATCTATAGCTTTAATTAATGTTCAGTTGTGAACTACAAAATCGATTAGTTTAACAATTGAATCGATACATTATACATAATAGCAACGATTTTCATATACATCATGCATAAAACGTATATGATGTATAATATAAAATATTAAATGATTAAAATCATTCAATTTTATCAACACAAGGAGGGATATAAGAGTATATAGATTATACAATACACGTCATGTACTACATATTTGAAATAATCATATAAATAAATATATTGTGTATTCAAATATTTTTCTAGTAGATAACGATAAAAAAATTATTTGCATTTTTCAATGATAATGAAAATAAAATATCAACTTCAAACAAATAATTGTTTTATTATTATAATCTTTTATTAATAATTATTTTAGGAAAGTTATAACCACAAGAATGGAAGTATCAGCCATAAATTATAACGAGTATATAAGTATTACGCATATTTAATGAGCATAAATTTATGATTTGGCTCTTATTAAAATATATATTTAATGTCTAATAGAAGTTTTGTTGTACTATTATTAATGAAATACATATTGAAACCCTAGATGAATATATTGTAAAATCAATTCTAATATTGTCTAACAATAGTTCAAACTGAAAATTTTATTTTTTGAGAAAATTAAATATATATATATATATATATATATTAATTTAATTTAGAATATAAACCTCTCGGCAACCTGTTTCATGTTTTATAATATAATAATATATTTAACACTATAATTTATATATAATACTATAATTATAATAAAATTGATTAAATTACTTTGTATGTTGTAAATTAAAATACTTTGTATGGATTCACTTATGTTTTAATGTTAAATGTAACATTATTTTTGATTTAAATATAATATACTTTTAATTTTAATATTTTAAAAATTATCAAATACGAAAAAAATAGTTTTATGTAATTTAAATTTAAATGAATAATAAATATAATATAAATTCCAATTGACAACTTTTTTCGTTAAGTTCTATACTTTCTTGAATTAAAATTATTTGTTATATTGGTATATTAATATTATGCACATATCCCTTTTCCCCCTTTCTATTTTTGTACCACTCATTTTGTTTTGTTATTGTGTGTTCACTCAAGCATTTCTGAATAACGTTAAATATTTGAAAAACAAACTGTAAACCATTTTTGACTCGAATAAATCAATAAAATAATTATTTAAAAACCGTTTATTCATGTACAATTAATTTACTTAATGATCACATTCTTGTTTATTAAATTCGATTATGAATCGAATATAAATCATTATGATATTTCCTTCTAAATACGAAATAAATATCATCAGCTAACTTTTTAATAATAATTATTAATTACCAAGCGATATACTTATACGTTTATACTTCAATTTAATTCTAAATGTTGCGACAAACTATGAAAACAAATAATTCCTTTCTTGTTACTAATTCTATCATTTTCTGTAGGTATCTTAAATATTATAATGTTTTATCTATATATTTAAACATTGTACTACTCAAGTTCTAAGAGTATATATAATATAGGTATGTAGATTTATTTAAATTAAATAAATAAACTATTTTTAAATAAGAACTTATAATTAAATATGGGTCTATAATATAATCATGGACTTTTCATCAGATTAGAAATTAAAATTAAATTACTATCTCACTTCTATTATGTTTGTTTCTATAACATGACTTTGTTTAAAATGATCATAAAGCAATTTTTTAAATTAAATTACCATGTAAACATAGTTGATTTAAGTAAAAATTAAATAAATTAAACTGTAAAGTTATCACTTTTTACATGACCCACGATTAACCTAACGATAATCTTTTAAAAATTATTATTTATTGGTCATTAAAAATCATGTACTCTAATTAAAATGCAATTAAATACCTAATATTATCAATATTTTACTAATTTCTTATTAAAAAAACTTTAAATAATCCAGGTAATAAATTGAAAGGACTTAAAACGTAATTTGAGCTATCGAAGGTTTCAAATTATTGCCGCGACTCGGACTAATTATTAATAATAAATAAAATAAAATAAATAATTATTAGTGGAAATTATGAATAATATATATCACATAAATATTTTTTTTAAGTGTACTGGGAAATTAAGTTTAAGTCCATAATGCATAAATCATAGTTAGTAAATATTTAGATATTTTTAAAATTATGTAAGAATGGTTTTAAAACAAACATTTTACAAAAATATGAATTAAGAATTCATAATTTATTACAATAATCAATCAACGTTTAAAAATTTTATAATATATATACATATATAATATAATTTTATATTAATAATAATATATATAGTATTTTCAAATACACGTAGTTGAATCTTAAATATCTACAAAAATCATAAATTAGTAAATGGAGTAGGTACTTTTAATATAGTTTGTTGTCGTAGTAGTAAAAACAATAATGCTGTCATTTAAATTTAACTCTTACTATTTTGCAATTTAAATATTTTAACATGTAGGAATAAAGATGTCAGATTATTGTCAAACATTCTTACTTACAAGTATAATTTATGTAAATCGAATAATTATCTAAATACCGTGCTCTGTTAAACAACTTTAAGCGTTTTTTATTTTTATTTTACTAAATTAAGTTTTAATAATGAACTTACATTACTGTAGGTTTCAGTATATAACATTTGATTTTGATACACGGAACTTAAAACTTACCATTAAATATATTTTTAGTAGTGTAATACAATAAAACCAACAATGTGTATGTAAATTTAGGAACATTGATGGTAGATACTACATTTTGAAAAATGTATGGACGCACGAAACATCCTAACCTTATCTATTGTAATCTCAAGATAGATTATAATATTTTCCATGTTCGGAGTAGTAATGATTAGATTAATTTTGGTTTTAAAAACGCTCAACCATAATTATATTCGATGCAAGTCCATTATTCATTTTCTTGGAAATAAATGTTACGATTGGAGGTTTTATGCATCATTCGCACAAGTAAGTTCATATAAATGAAGGGGGATGCTTTATTTTAAACTCACTGATAATATTGTTTTTTATTTTTATTTTTATTGGTTGCCTTTTAAAATATCCAATATATATATATATATAAACAGCTAATGAAACCAGAGATACCTGTTTTATAAATCACTCCCTACACTCACGTAAAATGGCACTTGTTTATAAATAAATATTATATTATAACTGAAACACAATAACAAAACAACACTTGTTAGTGAGGAGCAATGGCTTCTCTGGACTTTTTTAGCGGACGCAAACTTTGTACATGTATTTTCCTAGTGTGAATAAATCATCGAATAATTAACAAGCAAACGAAGCAATAAAGCTCATAGGAGAGCCTAATATTCTATTCTCCCCCATCTTGAGGACGCCCCGGATGAGAAGTAGGTGTCCTAGGATCGATCAACATCCACCTGCAGAAGGTAAGTACTCTCTCTCTAAATGTCTCCTCCTAAATTCGGACCCTAACACTGAATCATCATTCGACATACGTGACTGTAGTATATCGAATAACGGACACAACAATAGAGACGGTAAAACTTCCGGCCGTTAATGCGGCAAGTTCACCGCGACGCCAAATGCCAATATATTGTACATTATACATGGACACGGAAACACATAGGTCATGTGGGTACCCGTTATCCATTATCATGCCCCCTTGCCAAGTTTAGAGGTCAACGTGTCGCATTCCTTCGGCACTGGTCACTGTTTTTTAATTTATTTTTATTTTGTTATTTTACTACCCACATGATATTGTAACGTCATGGTTCGCCATATCTAGTATGGACATGACCGCGCCCCGTTGTTGTGTCATTTACCTATGGTGAAATTAAAAATAAAATTATAAAAACAATTAAACCGAGCCCAAATAAAATTTTCACACCACGAAATACACTGTACGTTTTGGGGAAAAAAATAGCAACAGAGAGACAAAAGACACCCCTTGGACCGACAACCCGTCACACTCGTATTGTTTTATAGTCGTGTTGTAACAACAACAAAAGTGTTGTACCGCTACGGCGCGCCCACCGTGTGATGTATGCGTAGCATTGCATAATATTATTATTAGCCATTTGAACGCGCGTTCGAAACGATTATACAGTCGCTCTTCTAAAATTATTCGACATGCGTATCGTTATAAAAACAGATGACAAATTTTAGACGCATACAATACCATAGTGTAACTGTGTACTTACTCTGAAATGCACGCTTATCGACTATCTGTCCATAATCGAACGATTCGTCCGGTCCGCCGATGCGTTGATTCTCGATCGTGCCGAAGAAGAACGTGCGCACTGTCACAGAACACCGTACATAATATTATAATACCGCGACGACATGATTTTTGGATTTTTCAAAACAGCCACACGATGGAACGGCGAGAAAAACGGCACGAAAAAAATTCACCGTCCACCGGGATCGCGACGCGCATTTGGAGGGAATATATTATTATTACGCGAAGCGGACGGCGGACAGGTATTGCAGCGGTGGTAGACACGGACTGCCGCGGTGTGTGAAATCGTCCGAGACACCTGTACGGCAGACCAGATACCCGAGAGGGCGGCGAGCCGGAGGTACAGCCGTGTACCTGGTTCCAAGGCAGCCAACTAAACCGGTCCTTAACCTCTAGAGCGGATCGCCGCAGAAAACGCCGGGACGCGGTTGGCTACAGTGGCAACGACCTTCTGCCGACGGTTACCGCTGTCGCGCGGACCAGTAAAGGTTTCGGTCCAGCAGTTCGTGTTCTGCACACGCAACGTAGCTGCGGTGTGCCGTTCAGTCACGATGAAACCGTCCAAAATGATCGGCGGCGACTATTCACTGGAGCTGAATAACATATACCACACGGGCCAGGTGGAGCCGGCCTCGTGCTTCCAAAAGCTCTTCGGATCGGTCCAGACCGGACTCATACTCAAGGACATCACGCTGGAAGTTCGGGCCGGCGAGGTGATGGCCATCCTGGGATCGAAAGGTAAACAAAACTCACACGCACGCGCACGCACGCGCACACGCAAACACATACACGCGCGCCCCACGCATACGCAAGCACGTGTACCGTTGATGAGGCGTACTAGGTGTCTGCCGAATGCTACCTCCTCACGGGAATTAAGGATGTTGTGGAATTGCGCGAGGAATTGCTAGGACAATACATTATTAAAACATTTTTCACAAAACCAACTTTTTTTAATATTTTATATATTTTTATTACGATCGACGGCAGGGATAAAATAATTTTCTTCGTGAGCAGAAAACCAATGAACTCGATGAACTAACCGCTTCTCATAGACTATTTTTATTATCATGTATGTCAATGTAAACTTTTATATATCATTTCAAAACATTTATTTTGAAGCTCTTGAAGTGATTTCTTTATACATACATACATACATATTAGTACCATAGGCGCAACTAGGGTACAAAATCTGGGGGGGGGGGCTACGGCCCTCCTACCTAAACTTAAAATAACCTGTGGATTACATCTACTATTATATACCATTTTAATATATTTTAGATTCTGAGCCAAGTCGGATTTACTGCAATGTGTCTTTTTTTGTATTCGACACTATTGTGAATTAAGTATGCTGTATGCGGTATGCCATGTATAACATGGAATATTTATGGAGGGGCTTAATCTTGGCTCGGGGGTTAAGTCTCCTACCCCCCTAGTTGCGCCCATGATTAGTACACAATTTATGTTTTTCATTATTTTATTTTTTTTTACCTCATCTACATATTAATTATTTATTGATGGTCGAAAGCTGTAAGATTTTTTCTAAAATTTCCAAAAACCAATTGATACTTTAAAATACTTTTCAGTCCAACTTTATTAAATAAGAAAATAATTAAAAAACAACAAGAAATATAATTAGATCTCTATTTTAATTCTATTATCGTTGGTATGTTATATTTAACTAAATGTTTCGTACATTATTGAACTTCGAGAAATAATTTAAATTTGTTTAATTTAAAACATTAATGCATGTAACGAAAGTTCAGCAAGATTTGTCAATAGTTTTATCATTTTTTTACTTAATTATTTTTATGATAATACAGATCATAATGATTAACAATTTATTTATTTTAACTAAACAAGTTTTTTACCAATCCCGTCCATAAATTATTATCTATAAATTTAAAAAAAATTATTTAGTTAAGAGTATTATTTTCAATTAAAATGCCCTTATTATTCTCATTATATTTTTCCGTTGCTATTGTGTTAAAATGATAGACACAAATAAAATTTGAGATTTGAGAGGGCAGAAAAATATTTCATAATTTATTTTACTTTGTATAATATACTATATAATATAGTTTGTGGGAAGAATTTACAAAAGTGGAATAAGCTCTTCCCTCATTTGTGCTTATGGTTAAGATTACTTTTAAATTTATATAGAGAAATGGTTTATTTTATATTACAATTCAATTATTTATAATTGATAAAATAAATACCTACTTAATTATTTTACTATATAAAACGTAATGCTATTTACCACAATATTCTATGTAGCCATGTATAGACATAATAAACAAGTAGAGCCAAAGGAGTTTACTTTCTAAAGACAATATAGAAATCATTGATAATTAAATCAGTCTACACAACACAATTCGTAAAATGTAACTAAAAATTTCACATGTTCGTAATTATTAATTTAATTAAAAAATATCGTTTAATGAAACGTATCGGAAAAGTTGTTACATTTTACTGGTCTCTTTAGTGTCGTTATAAACCACTTATACTGGATAAGTATACTTACTAATAACTTATAAAGGAATTGTATTTTTTAATACATTTAGGTAGCGGTAAAAGAGCACTTTTAGAAGTTATTGCCAGACGGAGTAAGGGACTTTCTCGTGGACAGATCCTTTTAGATGGCCGACCTCTTACACAAGCGATGTTTAACCAATGCTGCGCTTATGTCGGTCACCGAGCGGACCTTGTTCCATCATTATCTGTTCAGCAAACACTACACTACGCAGCTAACTTGTCTATAGGCTCACAAATCAGTGGCTATGTTAAAGATTCTAGGGTCAGACAAGTGTTAGCTGACTTGGCTCTTAGTCAAGTGGCCAGACATAGTGTAGAAGCGTTGACCGAAGGCGAGTACAGAAGACTAGTGATCGGAACTCAATTAGTTAAAGATCCAGGTAAATGATCTTTATTGGAATGAATCTTTCTGTAATGAACTAATAATCAATAATAAAGTAAACTATTTTTCCTATAGTATTACTACTATTGGACGAACCAACTGCCGGATTAGATCCACTGACCACTTATTTAGTAGTATCTATGGTCAGTAGCCACGCTAAACGCAGAGGTCGAGCTGTGATACTCACTATGGAAAAACCACGTTCAGATGTTTTTCCATTTCTTGAACGTGTTGCTTACTTGTGTTTGGGGGACTTGGTATACGCAGGTCCGACTAGAATGATGTTGGACTATTTCCGAGCAGTTGGATTTCCGTGTCCAGAAATGGAAAATCCTCTCATGTATTATCGTAAGTAAAATAAAAATAATTATATATTAAGTTCGTATTATTTTGGTTTATAATACATTTCATATGGACTACAGTAAAAAACCAATTGTTCGATCCCTAAAATAATACAAACAACTATCAGAAAAAATATTACATCATTCAATGTATTTTTGATTTTAATCATGGGTTTTATTGATATTCTGTTGAACCTATTTAACTAGATCAAGTCATGTAAACGATTGAAGTATTGTCATTCTCTTAACAGAAAAATAATAATTTTATTTACTATATTTTATAGTAGTCTATAGTTAATTACCAGTACATTATGAACCATAATTGTGTTTTATAAAATATATAAAATATTTATATTTTTGTAATTATGTTAATATCAGCCAATTTAATTTGAAATTAATAACCAACTTTTATATACGGTTCTTCTATAGAAGTTGAATTGTTAAGTGTATTTTATGTTTCTTAACATGTAGAACATAAAGTATAATATCTATGATTCATTGATTATGATCTACAATTGTGACATATGGGTTAGGATTTGTGGTTAATGAGGTATGAATTCACATTGTGAAAAACCAATGCGTAATCCAGCGCAAATTATTTAAGTTGTATAGGGTATCTCAAAAATAACGTAAAATTTATCTGCTATAAATTAAATTTATTTCTTTTAAAAACATTATAAATATATTATTCTCTTCAGGAGAAGTTAAGGTTTAACAGTGAAAAACAATATCGGGTATATGACCCTCCTTATTAGCCCTACAGATGATTATTCTTTCCATAAAATTTACTATCACTCGATCACACATTGCCCCGTCAAATTCATTGAGGATACGACAACTTTTTTGCTTCCAAGATATTTCGAACTTTTTTCTCGTCATACTCGTAACTTAATGTCATTACTTAAAAGCTATAAGATATTCATATATTTGACCAACTGCGATATTTAATTTGAAGAGTAATTTGCGTAAGTTAGCGTTTTTTTGTATTTGGCATTCACTTGTTCAGATCACATTGCAATTTGATAATATGTATTATCCTTCAACGTGCCTCGTAATTCTCTTGCAATACTCTAACGGCTTATACTGTGCATTGTAATAACGTATTTTAGTGTTACGGTAAAACACCAGAGATTTTTATAACAGGTTTTTAGAGGATAATCTTTATTTTATTTTGACGAAAACGGTCATGGTGATATAACGATAACAATCTATGACCGATTTGGTGGATACTGAAATACTAAGATATTTTAAAAGTAACACACATAACTGTAACTTTTGATGACTTAAATTGAAATAAATAGATTGATATCAAAATTTAAAATATTAATTTAAATTGTTCAATTGCTGAAACAAAATATAAGGATTTTAGATTAAATTTTAAATAATTACCCGCGGGTAATAGATAAATACATTTTTGAGTACATTTTATACGTTTTAAAAATATGTTAGTATTTAAAGTATATATATATAACAAGTGCAAATGGCAAGAAAAAGTTTAATTATTTTGTTAAAAGCAGTTAAAGTTAATAAAAATATAAAAAACGCTTTTAAAAATTCTTTAAAAATCCGCGTTATATCATATGATATTATGACATGATATCATGACACGTTTCAATATACGAACCAAGAATGATATTCTTTAACCCTTCTATAATAAATGAACGCGGATTTTTAAAGAATTTTATTTTATTTTATTTTATTTTATTCAAACAATATGAAATTTTTCTATCTTTTTAAAAACTTAGAAAAATTTCATATTGTTTGAATTCACCTATTGTTATTGACCGTCAAAATATCACGTAGAATTGGGATTGTCGAACTATAGACAATCGCGTAAAGAATAGTAGTATTGAAAATGCATTTTAAACGATAACCGCAAACGGTTTTTAAATATTATGAAATAGTGGGATGGTAGATAATTAGCTCTCCATATAACTTACTTACCTGAATGAATAAATATACATATTTATGAATGCATGCACACGTTTTAGTAATATACATTTACATATAATGTAATATATATACATAATTATGTAATACAAAATATCGCATGAGTATAGTAATGTGTTTGTGTGGCCTGTGTGGGTATAATATATGGTTATTTTTGTTCTAGATAAATTGACCATTATATTCCATTCATTTTTTCATAAAAAATTAATTTTTTTAATCGATTTTATTACCATGATGTATGAATATATAATTCTTAAACATAGCTGTATTATAATAAAGTGATTAATGTTCAAAATAAGACACAAATTAATTACAGTTTAGTTGTCCTACGCATTTTATATCAAGAGAAGACTATGAAATCAAGTAATTTTTAATTTAATTATATTGTACTGAATTTATCATGTTGCATTTTATTAAAATATGATATATAAACATATACATTGCGAAGAGTGTGACTTTACGCTGAAAAAATACCCTCTCGATGATAATAGAATATGTTAAATCTAAATTAAGATATGAGTAAATATATTTAGCTCTTAATATCAATGGTAATTTTGAACTCCTCATAGAGGATGAAAAGAAATGCGTTTTTTATTACTACTATTTTTTTCGCAGTTAACTATAGCTATCTGTATATATGATGATATAAAAAGGATTCCGTTAAATGCTATCTAAATAAATATATTCTTTAAAGATGTATTAACCATGGCTTTAATCATAGACGTGCGCACGGATGTGGCTTATAGGGCTATAGCCACACCTGAGACTTTTTTTTAGGTAGGTACTATGTACTTAGGTAAAAAGGGCTAATAACTTTTTTTTTGGAAAATCAAAAATTTTTTCTATCAATTTTATTAAATTACAAAAAAATAAAAATTGCCGGGACTGGCGTTCATTGATAATTAGATTGTACATTAGTTTTTCTAATAAATTTTATTTCTACTTACTTATGTTTTGTATATCTATTTTTTTTAAGAAGGGGTTTTATAAGGGGGTGGGTGATCAAAAAAAATAAATAAAAGCCACACCGGAAATAGGAATCTGCGCACGCCTATGGCTTTAATAAAATAACTAACAAAATATAATGATTAGATTTAAAATACATTAAGATTATAACGATTTCAAAATATACCTATTGAGTAATTATATCAATTTTTTAATTTATTACCATACTATTATTTGAAAGAAAGTAAATATCTTTACTGTGAACCAGTGGTACATATAAAAAAAGGTTGCAAATGTAATTAATGAAAAATCATTGTCTAGTGATTTTATTACTGTTTAAAAACGTATTTATCAAATAGTTTATGTAGGTTTATCGAGGTGAATGTTAACAGTTGCAATGATGTAATAGAATTCACGCTTAATATTCATTAGAATTAATAACACATAAGTTTAAAATAAAATGTTATTTATTTTATTACATAAGGTAACGCTCGATGGTCACTAATTTACAGCTTTATGAATAATAATAATGTAAAATAATGCAAATTATATAATAGGCTTTAAAACAGTGATTCAGTGCTGTTACTAGGGATTGTTGAAAATAAACATTATATTAAGAAAAGACGTTAAATTTTTTATTAATTCATAAAGTCTTTCATTTAAACCCGATTAGAATGTATTTAAAATAAAAGTTCTCGTACCATAGTAGGACAAAAATGATGACAAGGGGGCGTATAAATAATAGAGATTCGCCTTGGGTACAAATGCGAGTTTGAAAAACTTGGTTTCAAACAACCTAAATAAATACTTTAATTGGAATTATTAAAGTTATTACTCATTTATCCATTATGATAAATTTTGATTTTTGAATGAATCCTAAATTATCTCAGTAACTCGTCAACCAAAACAAGACAAACGGGGTTTATATATATATATAAAATAAATAATTGTAACTAATCGCTAATATGTATAATATAATATAGTTTATAAAAATATAGTTTAATTTTATAATGTTATACAAGACCTAGATAATGTGAGAACATCTTTACACAAAGAAGATAATCGAACACATTCTCGTTATTATAATGTCAAATTATTATGACGTGTATATGTATAAATATTTATTATATATTTATATTTTCAGCTAATCGGTGATTATTTATCGACATTTTAAAGCCGCTATAGGTATTTACGTGTTTGAAAAATCAACGATCCGAACAAATTGATAAAGTGAGATAGTAGGATTTTCGCCGTTATCTTTAAAAATAATTATCCATTGAATTTTATTTTATTTTTTTTTATTTAAAAATGAATCTATCATACATAAATTATATAAATTATATATATAACGTGTTCATGTTAAAATGTACCTCTAAATATTCCAGTTAGGCGACTTTGTATTCTAATGGGATTGTCGGGGACTGAAAGGGAATACCAGAATACACAATGTCAGACAAATTCCATATTTTTAACCCAAACGCATGCGGGCATGCGCCATACAACTTATTTATTTTTTTTAATAGCAATTCAATTTTTTCTTTTTTCATATTTAGCTAGAAAATTTTTTTTTCAATCAATATTTGTATAGGTAACAATTTTTTTTCTTATTACAAAATTGGCAAAATTGTAGGGTATAATGATATAATGAATAAACAAAACCATAGATTTTGGGACAATACTAATCTCGAAAAATTAACTTTCAGGGTATCTGGGGTATAAATTTGTAGTGTGAGTCATTGGTCGAAAATTTTTAGGTACTTATTTTTATGACAGGACACTTACAGTTAGAAAACATCTAGAATTTCTTGTAAGTCAATTACAGTTACTGTTTGAAATTATTACATTAGCTGCACGGGAAAATATGTACCTAACCTCGTTTATTTACAAGATGCACTATCATACAACGCCACTGTTCGACAATGTTAAAATGAAAATTTTCGCAACCGATGGATTGATAATGGAATAATTCAATGGTTCCAGACAAGATCTCCAGACTTGACCCCATTTGTAGGGACATTTAAAAAACTGTTGTGTATGTAGACACCCCTTAAATGTCCAACATTTAAACAAAATATACGACTGACATATAATAATTTGAGAGAAGATAAAATAAATACTGTCCCATCAAAATACTCGTAATTTAAAAATTTTAAAATTTTTAAAATCATGTTTGAAATATCAAGGCCAAAATTTCAAATAATTCATTAGATAAAATTTTAATTTTAAATAGATAAATCTTAATTTCAAATTCATAGTGGGTACATTTTTGTAACTTTCATTACCTTTAATATTTAGTTATCTTATTTCGGAAATATGAATGATAAAAATGAGAGTAAATTATGACCAAAAATTAGTGTTTTTCTATATTTTATCTATTTTCATATAAGTATTTAAAAAAAGTGGAGATATTATTTTGGTTTTCAAGTATTAAGTTGAACATAATTAAAATGTCAAAACCAGATTTTTTATAAATATTAAACTTTAACATACTACAACTTTGCCAATTTAGTAATTAGAAAAAAACCTGTATACAGTAAATAAAACCAAAATCTAATGGTATTCCAGCAATAAACTGTATCAGATTCATAGGTGACATAAATACCCAATACTTTTACTGCTTATATACATGTATAACATATTTATGTACATTGTACGTTCGTGGCATAAGTAAATGAAATAATAATAAATAATAGTTGTGAATTACCAATGAAAACTGGAGTTTACTCATTCTTATAAATGCAAAACAATCCTCTTTAAACAATATTTTTACCTCAACTGGGAGTACTAATTTAGAACTTGAGAGTGCTAAGCATCCCCTGCTACCCTCCTATGTGCGCCAACGAATATATCATAAGAATAGTTGTAGTTATATACAAATAAGAAATTAAAAATTGTTAATATTTTTATTTTTATCTCTTTATATTTTATATTATCTTAATTTTGTTATAAAATATATTTTCATATATTTTCAAACTTAAATAGATAAGTATCGCTACCCCCTCACAAGCTGTACTTATAAGGATAATGTATTTTATTTTTTGAAAACTGTATATTACGAAAGTTATTGTTACAATAAATCTAACAATTAAAAAAAAAATCAAATGAACCAAAAATATCCTTTTAGAAACTAAAGTAAAAAAAAAAATGTTTGATCGAGGTTCCGGTTCCGGTTTGGGTTCTTTAAAATTTGAACTAAAGGTTCTTTAAAGGTTGAGGTTTCATAATTTGACCTAGGTTCCGGTTCCAGAACCGGTTATATTCGGTTCGGTTCCAGTCCCTGATCGAAACGCTTCGAGGACCGCTAATTTGAGATCACTGTTATCCATAAATATAACATACTATCATAACAATAGATGATTTACGACATTGTACTATCGTTTATTCGCAGTGTGTTTGTCTACGGTCGATCGGCGGTCACGCGAAAGATTCGTCGAGTCCAATGCACAAATCGTGGCTCTGGTGGAAAAGTTCAAAATGGAAGGGGCGCCCTACAGAAAATCTTCAGCAATGTCCGTGCTTCTCGGGTCACCGACTGGCGACCACCAGTCCAATTCGCATCCATACCCGTACTCTGCCCAAGAGTCTTCGATCACACAAATTGGCATGACTCTATACCAGTAAGTATGCACTCGAATTATTAAAACAAAGAAATAATAATGATTATAACAATAACAATAAAACGCTACGTATCTTTCCGGTCCATTGAGAATTTTATAATTAATTTTTTTTTTATCCCCGAAAATATCGCACCAATAGATTTTTCTGATTATCGTATTCATACTCGTATATTGTACTTTTATTATTATTTTTATTATTATTATTATGACTGATCGTAACAATGACCTTATAATGATTATATGTAATAACTCTCAATGGTAGACTGCATGCTCATACCGCATCGTTCTTATACAGTGTTTTATTACGCCACATTAAAAAAAACTGTATCTTGGTGAAGTACTGTACAAATAATAACAAATGACATATGTATTTAAACAACAACTATGTTATGTTATGCTACTGTTATTTTATTATTATTCCATGTACGGCTAGTTTTTTTTGGATCACAGATTCCTCTTATTGTACTCTAATAGATAGATACAACTATTATAAAATACGAACGTAATATTATCGTTTACAAATTTTTCTATGATTCAAATCACCAAAAAAAAAAAAAAAAAACACCGAATACCAATTTATGAATGATATTTACAGTTTTATTTATCGAAATAAAAAATTACATTATATATATATATATATTAACAGTATATACGCAATCATCTATACTCTATTCGCATTTCAAAACTTCAGTAATTTTTGATAACTGTTTCGTGAAAACGAAACCAATGAATTCGAATAAAATATAATAGTACTACCATAGCAAATAATATTAATGCAAAACATTCTAAAAAAATTATTATTATTATTTTCTCGTTACGACGTGTACCTGTTATAAAAAATACCACGATTTTTGCCATTATAGTTGTATATTCTAAAAACACAACTTGTGAGCATCTTAAAAAAATTTCCAACATTTTACGCCATTACTCTCAAACATATCTTTGATATACAATACTAGATTACTTAAAGAAAAATGTGCATTGCATTAAGTTTTTCACAAATATCATTCAAAATGTAATTTATCGAGAGTAATATATACGAGTACACCTAGTGTCTTTACAATTATTAGTTGCTATTTAAAACTAAATAATTATTTTGTAAACAACAATATTAATGAGCAATGTTAATTCAATGGAATGCTTGTTACTATGACTTGATACTTGATTATACATGATTACGTCACTGAACTGACCTCATATTTATGTTGTCTACAGTTATAATTTATGTTGTTAAATGTCAATGTTTTGGCATTATTCGACTTCAAGCTTTATTACACATTATAATAATTTGTGTTGTAAATCAACTGACATTCACTTTATGTCACGCAAAATTTATGTCGTGCCCACCAAATCGTTCTGATTTCAAATCGTTTTCATGCACAATACTGAAATGTAAAATGTTAACAATATGAATTTTCTAAATTTTGTTGATCCTTACGCAACTACACTAATTGACGTTTCACGAACTCAAAATTATAGAGGAAAACTATACTGTCGCAACAATAATCAACTATACAGGGAACTAAAAATAATTGTTCTTTCTGCTTTTCTGATGTTAGCCACGTTATGGATTATTATTGCACCGATTATTTAGTGTACTATATTAGTATATTTTCACACGATATTTATACAGGATTGAAATACGCAACTATAATCGACATATATTTTCTATTTCTTTTGTACGTAGACGTCAATTCGCGTCCACTTTCGGATGTTCCTGGCAAGCTCTTTTCTATCTCACTGCACGACTCATTGCTCTGCCCGTCGCATTCTTGTTGATCTGGATGTTTTATCGCGACATCAAGGTAAGTCTCGCTGGCTATGAATTATAAATACATACTGCGTTTTGTTCGCACAAGAAGAACGCGATTCCGTCGTAATTTTATATGCTCATTGCACGTTTTTGAAATACATTCCTATAGGACTATCAGACGACGTTCATATCCCGGAGTGGTCTGCTGTTGACGTGCATAACTACGACGTATTTGACATCGATATTCACCACGGTATACACGTGTGAGTATTAACTATTTATAATGAGATAAAAACGATAAAATGTTTCCTAAGCCGACGCAAAATATCCACACATAGATTAAGGAAATAAAGCCCAGGAAAACGAGACCCAATGACATATATATGATTAATATTTTATAAGCTTAGGAGGAAAAATTCCGATCGCAATACATGTAATCATAAACAATGATCAATAATGATACGGTTCGATTTGAAAGTACATTGTTGTCCTGCATACCTTTGTCGGGGGCGTATTTTCAGTTTTTTTTTTTTATAGTGAGGCAAAAATTCAGTTGGTTCGGTGTTGACATTTAATCAACATTATACTTGTTAGTTGTTATGCTCTCAGAAATAACAAACCAAACAATTCCTTGGCATATATAAATATACTCATTCTGACTAATACCTGTGAGTACAAATAATGTACTATACAAAAACAGCTTAGGAACGTTTCCGAAATCGAAATAATTAAGATAGAGGTGGTCCGTGAAATAATCATTATGAGAATATTTTTACAAAATAATTTACATTATTTCACGTCAAAACCAAAATTATTGATCAGTCCATGTATATCTTAAGGTGAGGTATTCCACTGTCCCACTGAATCGCTTCCCATAAACAGCATAATACATGTAATATTCTACAATGAAAAAAAGAACTGCATGAGCAATTAAATTCTTCCGGTCTTTTGAATTGACGAAGGCCTCTGTGGATTTTCGTTTGGTTGGTAACAGACATATTAAACTCATATTACATTACTTTACCTAATTCTACAAACCTACACATATGCTGTTTTTATTTAACGGGACTCGTTAAAGCATTAAACGTAGTTCTATCTACAAATAAATCTGGTTTCTTTTTTACATATGCTTAAGATACGCACTAGATTACGACTTTGTGGCAACGAAAAGATTATTTTATCTTATAAAAATACGATACTACACTATGAATACAATGTGAATGTGTGTGTGTAAATTATCATGAATATAATTATGTTTAATTGCAAAAGAAAGTTTCGAGAGATGAGACTAAGCTATATGTGGGTACGTGTTGTACTTGATTTTATTTTAGTTCTCAATGGCGAAACTAGTTCTGCAATGTAATCAAAAAAATTGTTAGTAACACTATATTATTATGCGTCGGTCTGCACTGTAGTGGTTTAATTGAAAAAAAAAACGAAATTAGACAATGGATGAAAAAAATATTCGTTGTAAATTATATTAGAATTGAAATAATAATAATACCATTATCACGGTACAATATAATGTCGTCGGTAGGTATAGGACGGCGATTTCTAAACGCGTACGTGCTCCATACGTACACATCATCCATTAACGTCATTATTAGTCTCGAAAAATTAGTTAATTAATAGCCGCGTGTTCGTGGTAAACCACGTGAAAAATGATTGCGGATTACAAGTCAAATTATTAGATAACTCTGTAATTGTACATGTGTTGTTTGCTTGTTTAAAGTATTACTTCAGTGATTATATCTTGTACATAGTGTACGTATAAATTATTATTACGGTTTGTAGTATAACAATAATAATAACAATAACAACAATAATGCGTTTTCTCGTTTCAGTCGCTCCGCACAGGACTAGATACTACCAGGAAAACCAAGACGGCACGTACAACGGACCACTTTTCCTCATAAGTTACTTTACTTTCTCGCTGCCGCTCGCTTTTCTCACCGTGGCCGGATCGTCGGCAATACTGTATCAGTAAGTGTTACGCGCGCTAAATTGACTTCTACAACACAACAACATAACGATGCAGACGTAACTATATACATACATACGTATTGTACTACACAGGGTATACTATATTATCGTCTTGTTCGAATCCTCGTCGATTTCGGTATACATTATTATATGTTCGCGCAGAAATCGCTCTCTTTTTACACGTAGCAGAAGGCACTCTTTCGACGTACCGATTGGTATTTTTATCCGCACATAAACCACTTCGTACCGAACTTAAGATTCACTTTTGATGGCTGCGCAACTCGTTTTTAACTAACCACGTCGATGATTCATCTTCAGAACGAGTACTATTTGATTGTGATTCCAACAAAAAATATTTTCGTTGATATTATACTTTTTAGATTTTGAATTTTAGTTCCTTATACGCGTTTATGACAATTACATATATATATATATATACATATATATTTTTTTTACATCAAAGGAATATGATTTTTTGTTAATAATAAAAATGATCCGAAGAATCTCAACATAAAAGGCATGTCGTTAATAGCGACACATATAAGGATTGATGAAAGTATAATGTTTCGGTCCCTACACAGTCACAATTTTAGCATCGATGACCAATTTTTCTTTTTACTATCAATCATGTTTTCACGACCACATACTCATGCTATAATATTTCCAATGGTCAATCTGTCAACGATAAATTACCGAATCAGATGACCTAAAAAAAAAGGTCATCATCACTCATTGCCGTCGTATTTAATCCTATAATTTTTTCTGACGTTTTATAAGTTCACTAATACCTCTAAGCTATTTGTATATAATACATGTATTATACGTGAAACCTATTCAAAATGGAGACTGGCGGTAACGTGGTAATCTGCGAGAAATTAAAAATTCGTTCGAACACCGTAGCTGCTATGCGTGTGTGTATGCGCCATGAATATATAAACGATAAATGTATGATATACCGGATGAGCCAGAAACTATATATCAAGTATATATTTTATTTTCTGTTGATTTTTTACATTTATGCGCACGATTTCGTTTTTGGACAGTTTTCACCGCGCATCACATAGGTACTACACATATTACTTAGATCAATACAAAATTATTATAATATTTTTTTATTTTTCTTACTGTTCGTGCGCATTTGTATCATAGGTTGATGAAGTTTAACAGCTGGACGGAGCTGAGTTTGTTTGCTGCCGTGCTGCTAAGCTGCTACTTATTCGCCGAACAACTGGTCGTCGCGGTGATGGCCATCTCGAAGAACATGTACAACACCAGTGTGTTTTGCATTTACGTCGTCAGCGTGATGATCGTATTGGGTAGCGGAATGTTGAGGTTTGTGTACAAAATATAATGTGCGGGGCTTGAGCTATTTTATACTATAAAATAGTATTAACAGACTTGTTACATAGTAGCAGTAGGTGGTTAATATATATATATATATATATATACTCGTATATACTGTAAAATCCGGGTCGCATTAACCAGATGTGCAATGTGTTAAACAAACAAAGGCGGTTGAAAATAAGGGTGGTTTAATAAATCAAATTTCAGAAAAAGTTATCATAATAATTACTTATTAATAATAATTTACTGTAAACATAGTATAAAACACATTTTAAACATCAACTTAACATAATTTTAATAACATTTTTGAAATTTAACAAAACTGGACAGTGCTCGAATATGAAATTTTAAGGGGGAAGAGGGTAGAACATTTGTAGATAGCCAAACAGGTAAGAGCAAGCCTGTATGAAATATATATGTTTATGATAGAGATGATAACATCGCGGCTAATCTATGCGTACGGAATTCGTGTGAAATATTATGTACTTGGTTTGTTGATTTTCAACACTCGTCTCGCCATGGTATTACTGTCATAATGTACTGGAAAATTGAACGCGATCAATTATAAATCGCGTATCATATCACCCTGACATTCATTCGTCCAATTGTTATGCGATAACGATAACGAAATCCGGATTTCCACGTGCGTATTGTATTTTAGGCGTACTACGCGTTACCGGTTGCGTGAAAGTTTACTCGGATTGAACGTCATCGGTGTCAGTGGCCTATTATTACACCAATAGCCCGTCGAACAACACCCCTTGTTCGGCAACCATCGAATAGTTCGAATGTTTTGTCTCGCATTGCAGACACTCGCAGCAGGTCACAGATCGAAGTTGACCAACCGCACCCATTTGTTGCTTCAATTATTTAGTCGTGATATACATACATGGGCGTGAAAAAAAAAGAACCCCATTTGTCATGTCAATGGATTCGGCGCCTGGGCGGATACTAGTGCATACAATTTAGGTCATCAGTGGGGTCGGTCGACATAAATTATAACGTGCCTAAATCGTGAATTATTATTTCGAGGAGCGGACGCACGATAAAAGGTATTTTTTGTTATTGGCGACTCGTTGAAACTATTCGGATACGGTATAGGTATTGGAGACGCCGTCAAATTTTTCGCTGCACCCTTCACGAGCCACCATGTATAAAAAAATATGTGACTTCACTTCTAGATAGGTACCACGGCTCTAGCTTGTAATCTAGGCGCTGATGACATATGGTAGTTTTTATTAACTACTACGTCGATTTGTTTGAAATCATCGTCGTACATTATTATTTGCATTCATGCGGGTGACGTGTGGGTTCAACAAGGAATATAGGTGGTGCATTTTTTTAATGAAAGATCATCGACAAACGCAGATTGATTTCATAAAATTAGCACGACACATATTAGTGGAATGCAAATAAGGTATTCCGGGCCAGCCACACCCGCCATCAAAATAATTGTTTTCTTGCGCCACTCAACCGTTCACTTAACCTGCATATAGGTATATGAATATTACACCCCATCCTTTTAATTTGGAAAAAAAAACATTTCAACGGTGGGAGTGGCGACGGCTGGCTGTGGCTGTGGCTGGCCCAGAATACCATATTTACGTTCTATTAAAACTATTAGGAGACGTTTGTTCAGTGTGGTTTTATTTATCACATTTAGTGATGCAGTCTTCGTGCATCATAGCGTATTGAACATTTGTTGTGACGTTTACGTTAGTTAGATTTAGAGAGATTTAAAACTATCCGTATAATGATATTTGAAGAGAAGAATATTTATAAGAGAACGACGACAGACATCATGGGTATATATATGTTTTTGTGAAATATCGACTGATAAAGCAATTACTAGAGCTCTTAAAACACATGTCACGGAATTCACGTGTACACGTGAAATACATGTTTATCCAAAATATATATCCATTTTTACAATGGTAAAATTAGTAATTTTATGTTATATACTTAAAGTTTTAATAAAATATTAATAGTACAGTATTAAGTTAAGGATGTACGTTTTTATTTTGGATTTTACACGTGACACGTGAATTCCGTGAATTCACGTGTATTAAGAGCTCTAGTAATTACGACTATTTGAAAAATCGCAAGCTGAAACCCCTAAAACTCTTTTACCATTCGATATTCAACAATAAAGATCAAACGTAAAGCTCTCAAAAATATTCTTATCTTTAAATTTAAACGGTATAAGTTTACACTCTAAACCTCACGCAAACGCTACAGTTTATGTTCTATTTGCTATGCTACTTTTGCTACTTTTGCTTATGCTGCACGTCACAATACTCTTAAATACCTAATCTTTGAAGTACGACAAAATACAGCATTTTTGTCGGCGTTTACACAATACACACCAGGGTTGATAAATAATTTCATATGGAACCGGGCGGATTAAAACAATAAATAAAAGAGATCCAGAGGATATAATTTTAATTTTATTTACCAGTTAGGTAAATAAAAATATTTTAAAAAAAAAAAACAATTTCAGTTATAAAACAACCATTATTAGAGTTAAAACATTCATTGTTATTTTATTTTTATTGATCGTTATGAAAATTAAACCAATGTACCTATCTATTGAAGTAAGGCAATATGTCGAATTTCCCGTGTCCCGCCAGTTCGTGTATGGTATACCGACTAACCGATCGATAAACATTTAGATCGTACCGTGGCATGTCGGACTGGTTGTCTTGGATCACGTATGCCACGCAGACCAGGTACGCGGGCGCTTACCTGACGGCCCAGGCGTTCGACGGTCGCCGGCAGTACGTGGGGCTGCCGCAGAGCCCCCGGCAGAACTGCACCATACCCGCGGCGGACGCGTTCGTGTGCCGGTACCCGGACGGCGACTCGTACGTGAACGAGAGGTACCCGCCGTCGGTGGCCGACCCGCAGATCAACCTGGTGGCCAGTTTCGTGTTTCCGGTGGCCGCGATGGTGTTCAACGTGCTGCTGTACGTGGCCCCGCTGCCGTCCTACATCAAGGCCAAGTTCAGGGAGTAAAGTTGTACGCTTGCAACACCAGCGGCGAGGCGTCACGAAGGGTCCATGTAGCGGAGGCGTTTCGATATTCCTTAGGTTTCGTCGGAACCACGTTCCAATGTCCACGCGAAAACGTTTTCGAAAAATAATAATAACAATAACAATAATTATATATTACAAACCCCGCGAAACGATAACGTTTTTAACAGATCCACGATGGAAAGAACCAGATAAATCGTACTTTAAGTAATAACTGACTACTACTAAGTGTTCATCATTATTTTGTTACGGTTTCCCGTTTTGAGTACATTATATATAAACGAGTAAATTTATTCAGAAGTTTCAACAAGAACCTACCTCAGATTTTCACCGTTTCCTCCGCATCTCTTCTACGCATACAATGTACATAATATATTCACATCCGATAATATCATTGATCTCAGAAAAAGAAAACGTTTACATCATAATGTGTTCGATCAATACTAGAATACATTTCCTGAAGTACCACAACTGTGGTGCTCATTGAAGTATTGGTACGAAAATATTTAAATTAAACCATACACTGCGCTCAAGATGTTCATATGAACGAGACTTATTACGTAAACCGTTTAACTGAAATGTAATTTATTTGATACAGATGATTTTATATTTTATGTTTATTATTGATTCTGTTACATTCTTTACAGAATTGATCCTGTTTTGTTACATTTGTGCTTGTTAGGCAATTAAATACAACTATTTATACATTATTTAATTCAGCATTTATTTATTTTTTAGTGTATATATATATATATAAGTAAATATATATAAATATATATATATATATATATATTTTATGGAAACAAAACAATATAAATTAAAATAAAATAATTAATTACTAGCTTAATACCTCCAATTTTATTTTTCTATCTATTATTCATGTAATCGCTGACTAGAAGAATCGTACACAGTTTGCTTGCGCTGTCTGACAGTGGCAGGAGGTTTCCAATCTGAAGTAACTTCAGAAGATCGTCTTCTGTGTTCCAATTCAGCTTCCATGATAACTCCGAGTTCACTGTCTCCGGAATGTCCTTTGTCCAACTCATCATTACTTATACAGTCTGTACTTGATGTTTCAAGTGGACTTTGACGGCCAAGAATCGCTGCAGGTTCTTCATATAGCTAGAAAAAAAAAACCAATGAAAACAGTGATTATTCCACATAAAATAGGTATCATAATATCAATAATAACAATTACTTCTTTAAACGGAGCGTCCAAGAACAGTTCATGCATGTAACGTCTGGCTTGAATATGATAATGATGGTCAGCTAATAAATTACAGACATCTGAGTAAACACATATGTCGTGAAACAAATCACCATACATTTGTTTCATTCTGTTTAAAATTATAACAAATATCACATTTTAACATAGATAAGATATGCATGAGCCATAAGTTATAACAATTAATTAGAATATAAAATCTTACTGTAATAGACTTTGGGTGGAAGTTTTATATAAAACAGGATTTGGTAATTGCTCGACAAGTTTCAATATATCTCGTCGTAAGGTTGAACGACTTTTGGTAATTCGATCAGCTAAAGTAGACCTCTGGGCTAGACCTAATAATGATTTTAAATAGTTAAGTAAATTGCATTTAAATTTAATAATAAAATCAATAATACATTCTCAAGGTCAGTGGTTCTCAAAATGTGGTACGCAAAAGACTATAAGGTGGTATGTGGAAGGCCATGGTAGAACGGAAATTAAAAATTTGATATTTAACTTTTATATTAATTTAAAAACACTAATACATTTTTATTAGTAAATAAATAGTAATTTTACTGTAGTATTTTACTGCCTTTATGTTTAAAATAAATGTATTTTATTATGTAAAGTTTGTATGATTCTATTTTTAATCATTACTGGTACGTGACTGATTGATAATATATTCAAGTGGTACACGAAAAAAAAGTTTGAGAACCACTGCTCTAGGTATATAAATATAATATAAAACAAGTAAAAAAAAACAAATGTTATTCTAATTTTATTATTGCTAAATTAACATGAAATCAATTACAGCTATACCTTACACTACATTTCATTCTACTGTCCTTCGACTCAACTGTTTTATAGTAACTTAATATTTTTAACATCAATAAATGTGCTTAAGTTTAAGTAACACATAACCTCTTTGAAAGGTTTGTGATGGGTAAATATTTTTTTAACTGACTATATATTGAATTTTAATATTTACTGATTATAATATTACATAGCGTCAATGTTAATTGTCCGAGGAATTATTATTTTTTTCCATAGTTAATATTAAATATTATATTTTTGTATAATCCCTATTTGTAGGTAAAAATATGTCTGGAGAAACGATAACACTTTTATTAGGTATGTATGTAATTTGAGTATTAACTAAAGTTTTTTTTATTTGACGTACTGCTCAGAGCTTAAACTTTTTTGCTATAGATAACTTTACATTAAATTTCAAATTACAATGACCTACTTACTGCTTATATCAGAACTAGCACCGCTTTCATTACTTCCAGTACCAAAACCTGAAGCGTCATGAAGGCATGAAGATTTATTGTGTTGCCATGGCAATAATATTGGACTTTCTCCTTCAACACCCATGCCATAACTACTTTCTGTCTCTAAAATATATTTAATGTAATTTGAAATGACAATGATTCAAAATGTTTATTATAAATGTACAGAAAACTGTTGAATGATAGACATACCGGTTCGACATCGTCTAAGAGAACTAGATGATACTTTTCGGTTACGTGTTGCAGATCGATTGCTATGTTCATTAACAGAACACAACATACACAAAGAACGGTTATGACTTCGTTGTCTTCTAACAGGTACAGGATCAGCTACAACTTCTTCAGTGTCCGAATCATCAGTACTCAAGGCTTCGGAACCTAAAATTTAAAAAATCACTTCCATTCAGCATATCAACGAAGAAAAAAGATTTTTTTTTACAATTAGTGAAATACTGGAATCTAATAATTTTAAAAATTTATTCATAATAATGATTTAACTTACATGTACAGTATTTATAACATATTCAAATAAATTTCTAATTAAACTTAATTTTAACTTTCTTAAATTACTATATTATTCTTGCTAAGTAATTAATATTAAAATTAAAATGTGTATTTATACCTGTTGATAAATATTTGAAACAAGAAGATGAATCTTCGCAGTCAGGTGTAGGAACAGATTCAGATTCTTTTTCAATATTGGAAAAAATCATATTAAGATCTGATGGCAAGGCAATTCCACCATAACACAGTTCATTATACTGATCTAAGTAAATATAAATTAGATTTTAGTTTAATACAATTAGAATTAATTTATAATTAATAGATTGGCTATGAGAACAATTAATAATTTAATATTACCTTTAATAATATTATGACAATCTTTGTTTGAATTTAAAGTTATTTGCTCTGATTCTGGATCAAACCTATAAAAATAAAACAACAGTTTTAACTTCAATTTCAACAGCTCAAAAAAATAATTATTACACTATAAAAAAGTTCTTATTTTAAAATATAATTGAATACATATTGTATCAGGAAATTTATCCTTCACTTATGGTACATTCTAAAAATTAGAAAGATAAAGAAAAAATCTATTCTTTTTCTAATAGAAATACTTTTCTCAAAAATAAGGCTTAAGCATTAAATACTAGCTCATTAAGTGTTACAACTACATAAAGGGTCTGTAATGTTAGAGATCTGACCTTTTAATCAAATCATTATAATCATTAATATACATATAGATGTGGAATTAATTTTAACATTGTGTAATGTGAGGGTAAATATGGACATTTTCTTCTCAAAATAAATGATGACATTAATAAAACAAAGGTTTTCTTATAAACATATAAGACCAATAAAGTTAGTAGAACAAGAAATATTTATCTGAAGTATATATGTTATAATAATTTGAGTAGATTAAGTATATAGATTCTGAAGAGATGCAGCGCATACCTTACACACTCCTTAGTTACAGTGCAGTGTTTAATCAACATTTAGCTTAGGCAGAAACTTTACTATTAATGTATTAGCAACAATTTACTTACAGAGAACAATTCATGCTAAAAGAATGTCTAAATTCTTTAGGTCTAATCAATAAAGACATTCTGTCTAATTCTTGTTCAGCTAACATATCAAACATATCAGTTGCAGATGATTGATGTTGCATTGTCATACTTCTAAAACTTTTCCGACTCATACCTTTTTGTATCATTTTTAATGTTTTATAACCAAAAGAATTTCTTCTTGCTAATTTAGAACCTAAATATGTGCAATATTAAATTAAGTTTAAATATTATAATTTATTATAGTAACAATTACCTTCTGGTGCTATAGACGATTTCGAAGGTGTTTGCATAGGAATAGTTGACAATGAACTTGAACTAGGTATTGGACTTAATGTTTGGTACCTATCACTAAGTATATTCAAAATTTCAATTTTATTTTTAGTATGTAATAAAAATATAATTTAAGACTCACTGGTAAAAGCTGTTGTCTGTTGGACGAGTATTAAGTCCGGACTCACCAGAACTAACTCCACTAGTACTACTGTCAACAGTGCAATTACTATCAGATCTTAACCGATAACTAGCATATCTAAAAGCAAAAATAAAATTGAAATTAACTATGCAGTTAATATTATTAAATTTGCAGAACAATAACAATACTAACACTAGATTTTCAGGAGGTGAATTGGATTGTTCCAGATGGTGATTATTATCAGTTGTTTTGCTTTCGCTTAAACTTCTTATATGATATTGTTGACGGGACCAACTGCTACAGCTAGCTGGCAAAGTAGACCATTTTTTTTTCCCAGAACCTTGAGTACTGGGATCCCAAGCTGTATCATCTACCCAATCACTTACAAGACCCTATAGAGTAAATATTTTTACATTTATGTTCACTAATTTTAGTAAATTTAATACTCACTTGAGAACTAGATGGTGTAGATGTTAAATTGGGATCTATTCGTTTATCTTTGATTTTATAAAACTCATCTTCCAAGAAAACCCTGTTTAAAACATTCCAACCAGCATTTCTAAGATGAGCAGCTCCAGCTCGGTTAGAACTAATTAAAGCTAACGCATAAAAAGCTGTTGCGCGTACCGAGTATATAGGATAAGAAATTGCAGTCTTACATATGCATTTTAAAATACCATTATTGGCCAAATAACAAGCTCCTTGTGGTACACTGCCAAAATGAGCAGCAGCCCACAAAGCTGCTTTTAAATGCAATTGATTTTTAGGGGTCTCTTGTGTAAGGTTAGAAATTAATTGAATCATATTTCGAAAATAAATATCTTTGATGACTGCTTGAAACCCGCTATCATGAACAGCCATTTGAGAATACAAGTGAGCTGGTAAACAAATATTAGGAATTTGATTTCTTGACATATCACTTGTAAGTCTAGTTTTATAGTGTCCATCTTCATGACGTTGATGAAGAGTCAATTGGTCATGTAGCTCTCCTTCAACTATTAACACATACCTAAAACCAAATAAATTGAAAACAAATTCACTATCACTTTATTTTAGTTTAGTATAACCTATAGTTGAAATGGGTTCCCCAGTCATGTAACTGATTTGTAACAAAATTTGACTCTGATAAATATTTATAACCAGCTGTATCTGATAAAAATCTTACAAGTAAAAGTAATCCTCGATCACCAAGGTGAAGAATATTAGGCCTCAATCCAATTAACATTTTTAAATAATCCTATAAAATAATATCATATTAGGTATACACAGTAAATTTATTCAGTTTTTAAAATTACTTTATGGTCACAAGCTTCATCGAGAGCATCCAAAGCAGCTGTAGATACTACTTGATTATCATCAAGTGTCTGTGAAATGAGTGATTCTAATATCCATAAACCTGTTGTTGTTATATCTTCTGCACGATGAGCATTAAATCGGAGAAGTAAGCGTAAAAAACGTGTAGCATAAAGTCGAGACTTTTGTTGAGAACAGGAGAGAACACGACCTAATAATATTCTAAACACAAAATAAAGTATAAATTTACAATATTTACAACAATTAATAAATAAATGTACAGCATAATAAAACAGTAGTGTATTGAAATAAAGATTAAGTATAAAAATAAATTTTTTATTGAAATAAAGTATAAAAATTGTAATACCTTGGAAATGAATCAGTAGTATAGTCTAAACAGGAGACAATAAGCTTAACATAACAACATAAATGAGTATTTACAGTAATATTCAGCAACCTATAAGTATAAATTATAATTAATAAGCAATATGAATTAAGATATTTTTAGGTTTTATAAAAATACCGAAAGCCAAACAAATTAGTCATTGTTATTAACTAGTTCATGCTAAATTACTTTAACATTATAATTAAGTTAGAATAAAATTTGATCACTGAAATTTCCAAAATTTCTAACTTACTGCAGTTAGAATTTTGTAGGTAAAAATTGAAAATAATAACTTAGGATACAATAAAAGTAAGAATTTACAGTTATATTAGATTCTGAGAGAAGAAGCTTATAATTTTACAATGTTTTATTAATTTTTTTTTTTTTTTTGTGAACACTTGAGTATTCAAAAGTTATGAATCTATTTGATTGCATTATTAATTAATTTATTTTATTTTATTCTTGAAATGTTTATGTAAATTAGACAAATATAATACAAATAATAATAACTATATAAGATAAATATCATAAATTAAAAAGTTTTAAAATGTATTTTAAACATTTTAACATTCTATCAAGATCAAAAGAAACTATATATCTTATTAAAAATTGTGAAATTAATAAATGTATAGTAAACACCAAAAATCAAAAAAAATAAAAATTATTGAAAATTATAAATAATTATAAGTTTTTCTTAATAACTGTGTCTTTTAATTTAATAAATAATAGTTTTTTAAATTTTTATTATTATTTATAAATATTAAAAAATTGTTTGTAATAGGAAGTTACCTCTTTTATTACTTAATCCACAAACATTTTTTGTTCTTTTATTATTGTTTTAAGTACATTTTTTTTTCATTTATTTATTCTTTTATGATCCATTATTTACCAAATTTTAGAGATAATTAAGTTATAGCTAAATTATACTAAATATATTAAATAAATAAGAAATATTACTTACAGAGGAAAAATTTTAGTTTTATCTAAACAATATCGTCCTCTTTCAGTAGAACTAATTCGACCAAGCATTAGAAAATAATGTTGACTTAGAGTAATAGCTAAACGTTGTGGATTCAAATAACAACTATAAGAATAATTGGAAGACGTCAATGCTTCTAATTGCACATGAATATCAGTCAATAGAATATTTAAAAAAGTTTCTCCGCTTTCCTATAAAATAAATAAAACAACAATTAAACATTTAGTAGCATGCTACATCAAAATAAACATTTTAACTTATTTCAATTATTTTTTAATTTTAAGTGTTATTTTCTTTTGAAAAGATCATAATCAAATTAAAAGAAAAAAAAAATTATCATAAATTATAATTTAGGAAGGTGGATGGTTCAGTGAGTGGGTCAGTCGGTTTATTTATAAAGCTAATATAGGAAATGGAGATTTCAACTCAAATAATATAAGATTTTAACATATACTATTTATTTTTAATGTAAATTAAAATTACATTGATAAAATATAATACTCATAAAATCATTAAATATTTTTATTATAATTTTTATACCTGTAAAAATTAATCAAACCACTTACATTTGGAGCATCCATAAGATCATCAACTAAATCAAATAAAGCTAATGTAAATAAGTTCAATGGAAGAACTTCTGGTCTGAGTTCAACATCACCATACATTCTTGAAGATGGTTGAAAGTATTCAATTAATCTTTGCACAAATAAATTATAATTCATATCATCCAATTTGTTAACATCTTTAATTCTTGTCTGTAATAAATTAAGAATATAAAATTACTGAAAAATAAATACAAAATATAATTTACTTTTAGAGCAGAACGTATTGGATCCCATTTCCAAACTACTGCTTCTTTGACAATTAAAACACCGGATTCTTTGACAAAATCTTCACATTCTTTAGTCATTACACTCTGAGATCCTTTATGTTTTGCCTGTTTTTTATGTGTGACATATCTTAACATACTAAATTTTGGACCGAATAAATTCATGGCATGATACAAGCCAATGGTAGCAGGAGTTGGTTCATGGTTTAATGTTTTATATAATTTAGCTAAAGCAGAAATAGCTGCCATGGCATTGTTTTTTTTTAAATCATCTCCTACAAATATTTCAGTCTGTTCAAAGTGAACAGTATTGACTGGATAGAACATTAAACGATCATCAGAAGACCATAATACTTGATCAAATTCTTCAGTTGAAGTACAATTGTTTACACATTTTGATGATGGCCGACCTTCTAAAGCATAGGCTACTAGATCAGACAAGGCTGGTTTAGTATTGTTTGGAACTAAACTATCTGCTAGATGAAGAAATTCTCCTATACATTGAAATTAGTAATTAGATATTTTTAATATTGGGTAGCCAACAATATTACTTACCAAGAAGAATTGTTGCCTGAACAGACAATGTACTATCTGATGTTAGTATTACTTGAACTAAAGCTTCATCTAGTTTAAGTTCTAATAAACAACTTACTAAAAGAGATTGAGGTAAGTTAACTAAATTCACCCTAGAAAATTTTAATTAAAAAATATTATTAAGTATAATAAGTAAAAAAATATGAACAAAGTATCAATGGTTTTTATCATTTCAGAAACTGTTCAGAGGTTAAATATAATGTACACTAAAGTATATCAAGTGAAACAATTTCAATACTATCTGTAAACAATATTAACTCTAACCTTTTATTACTTAAACTTGGTATAAGATCCATTACTTCTGTGTAAATATATCCATTATTTAATCCAAATTTATCTCGATACTTGTAAGGATTTACAGATTCTATTGCAGTATCAACATCATCTACCCAATCAGCAGGACAAAATCCAAGAATTTCCCGTAGTAAATTTATAATCGAAATCTTAAAAAAAGTGTACAAATTACGTTTAAATTTTTCAGTTTTATTGTACACATTTATGGCTTAACCAATGACTCACTCTAGTAGAAGAATTTTGAACATGCAAAGCTCGAACAATGGAAGATAATCCACTTCTAGAATGTTCACCTGATGGATCACAAAAATATAGAACACCAATCCAAGAACGTAATAAGGAAACTAGAGTACCATGGGCTGTTTCAGCCAATGAACTTTTATCGTTCAATCTAAAAAATAAAACAATATAAAGTTGTTTTGTAGAATTATTTACAATATTAGACTGATATACTATGATTAACTTACTTGGAAGTTGGATTAAAATCAGTAAAATACGAAGCAAGTTGACCAAAATCAAATGACACTAATACCCTAGTATCTGGTTTATTCAACATCCAAAGTAATGTACCTAATACACATTCTGCCATTCTCAATGGTAGTTCAGAAGTGATTAAAACATGGCGCAAGGCTTTTAAGCCACAACCAATTACAAAAGCTTGAGGATTCAATAAACCTGTTTAAAAATTAATATAAAAAATAAATATCATAGAAAATAAACAGGTACATCAAATATTGAAATAAAAACATACACAGTTCACAAAGAGTAGCAACACAAGCTCTATGCAATTGGTCTTTTGAAGGTCCATGTGAACACATAGCTATAGCAGACAAAGAATGGGTAAATGCATTAGGAAATTGTTGAGGGCAGACTGTGCAAGTTTTACGAATAATCCTTAATGCTTGTAGCCGTTCACTCTCATTATCAAGTAGAAGTTCCAAACTCCTAAAACAGATTGCACAAAATAGTTTTTTTATTTTTTTGACATACACAAGATAACTCAATGATATTAATGATTACCTGCAAATAAGTATGGTTAGACGTAGACGTACAATAACAGCTATGTCTTCTGGTTTTTTTATGCAATGACGAATAGCTCTCAAACCAGCCGTCCGGACATCAGAACTATCACTTAACAGACTTGGTGTAAGACTGCAACCAAAATGATAAAACAAATAACTAAATGACAACTATGCGTTCAAGACAATATCGTATAATTCTATGATAAAAAATGCTAACTATTTTATTAAGAACAGTCACTTAACCAATATTTAGCAAATTAATGTCCACATAACTCACCAACACATAATTTCATATGTAGAGAAACCAAAAATATCACTAGTATTTTCATTTGCATTCATCGACGATAAAAGTTTGACGAGTATGTTTAACAAACATAATTTTTTACTGTCATTCAAGCCCTGCGTTTGGATCAGACCAGATAGGATCTTCTTCAGAGACTCTCTGGGTCCTGAAAAACAGAAAATTTTATTTACAGACCAGACGATAAATCGCCATAAGTAGAGCGGGCAACTTACTGGTCACTAGATCCAGTTGAACAGCATCATCTTCACATTCGTTTCGCCCTGCAAAACAGTAACGGTGAGTCACAATGATTTCGGATTTGGCATTACGCGACGACCGGAGGGCGTTTCGCCCTGGCTTACCTCTAGACTTGTTCGAGTGCAAACGAGTCCAAATCTTCCAAACCGGCATGACCATAGCTTCGACGGAGTTACCATGTCATTATTGCGACGTCAAGCGGCGCGCGCATAGTTTACGCGACCCGACGACCACCACTGATGTACCATCGTCGGCGGCGGCGGCGGCGACGTCGGCGAGCACACATGTGGTGTACGGGTAAGACCGGTAAGGAGCGAGTGAGCTCGTCGCCAAAGGTACGAAGCGCCGGAGCACCGCGCACGAACACGTATTATAATTTATAATTTACAGACCGAATAATAATAGGTAATCGTTACATAAATAAACAAACGCACACGCGCACACACACCCGCACCGTCTGCAGCTCACGGAAAATATTAATGAGGAAAAAAACAAAAAAAAAAAAAACTGGACAACAGATGACACGATCGGCTACGGGTTACCTGCGATC